CCCCCCCACCGCTCTCCCCTGCAGGGACAGGAGGCAGAAGCTTAGTCCTGCGGCAGCCAAGCTTCCCTCCTTCCCCTTCTTCCCCCAGCGTGGTGCTTTCCGGCCCCTCCGCCCCCTCCTCTCACCGGGCAGGCAGCGTGCCACTCAGAATCGGCTCGCGTGCCGTGTTTGGCACCCGTGTTTGGCGTAGGTTGCCGACCCCTGGTCTATAATATATAACTAAACTATTGTATGTAAAGTAAATAAGGTTTTTAAAATGTTTAAGAAGCTTCATTTAAAATTAAATTAAAATGAAGAGCCCCCCCCCCGGACCGGTGGCCAGGACCCGGGCAGTGTGAGTGCCACTGAAAATCAGCTCGCGTGCTGCCTTTGGCACGCGTGCCATAGGTTGCCTACCCCTGCTTTATACCATTAAAACACTAACTGTCAACATCACATGTCAAAATATACAAAGTAAATATCCTTAAACCAAACAAGAATAAGTTCTCAAGCAGCATTTCTCTTACTTTAGCTATTTATAAATTTTGATTACCAATGGAAATATTTTTCGTCGGTTTGTGTGTGTGCGTACGGTGAAAGCGATGTATACGGACATTTGCCAATAAAAATCTAATCCTGGGAAGCCTACACATATAAATTCTTGTGTTTTCAATTAAATCTCTCTGTATGGTTTAATATACATTTCTTCCAGGGACAAAACTCAATTCCGTCTTGTTTGTAAGGCCCTGATTGTGCAAACTGATCTGTGGGTGACAGCCCTGGGCCAATACAAATGCCCATGGACCTCAGAGATCCATCCATGTAAATCAACTTGAAGGATTCAAAACTATATTTTATAAACAAACTAGATGTGATAGTAGGTTACTCAACTTCGTGAACTTAAAGAAATCTGGTTTTCATAATAATTTTAGCTTGGTTAGGTTTTAATTAAATTCCTATTCAATAATCTATTTGCTCCTAACTCTCAGCCTTTTGACCAAGTATAAGAAACATGTTTTATAAGAAGCTATTGAATGAATGCAGTCTAACATTTAAATGAAGTCTGTAACCATTTTCCTGTATTGATAGTTACTTGTAAGTAGTTATTGCTCTGAACTACTCACTATTATTAGTTTATTCATTAGTATATCATTAATTCTTTTGTTTTCTCCCTTAATCAACAGTTCAGGTTCTCCCACCTGTTAACTTCACCGTCACAGTCTCTGCACTAGCAGAAGTACTTTTGCAATGGAAACCAAACCCTGATCAGGAAAAGAATGACACTGTTAAATATGAGGTGGATATTATGACTCCTGAGTTGGACCCAGTAAGTGTAAAGTATGGCTAATACATGTTGGCTTAAATGTGCTATATCAAATTCAAACCCAAGATTTACTGATTAAGATATGACTTTCAGATACATTGGCTCATCAGATTTACTTTTGGCTCTGTGTCATAAACAAATATATTAACCGTTGGCCAGATCCATCTCTCTCTCTGCCTATGGGAACAACTCTGTTGCAAGGGAGATTAACCCCAGGAGATAGCAGGTGTTAGTACTGCTGTCACGCTTCCCAAGGAATTCTACTAAGTGAGGGCAATTTTAATTTTTGGCCCGTTGGAGGCAGTCCGGGAGAGGTGTTGAATCAGCACTGCTTCTGGATGGTATAGTCCACCACTGATGTTACTGCATTTATTGCAGATTGACGCCAGTATATAGATAGTATTTGGGGCCACGTTTCACCAAAATTCTGTACATGGAAACCTTCATTTAACCCATTTCCAGTAGGCAATCCCCCATCTTAAGCAACACATTTGAAGTACCTTCATATGGTTTCAAATACCATATGATTTGAACTTTAGTTATAGACCACCTTTGTTAGGAGATCTACCTTTGCTGGTTCCTTGAGTGAAAACCTAGGTCAGGTTTCATTGCATTTGAGACTAATAAATTGTTTATTTTTCAAGTTTGATACAAAGAAAACTTGCAGTACCTGTACGGCTGTGCTTCATAATGGTTTTTCTGCACGTATTCGGACATTGCTTCTCTATAACAACTCACAAATGGAAAGTAACTGGGTTACAGCTAAACTTCAAGCCCCACCAGGTAAGATGTGTTACGAACAAGGATTTAATTTTATGTTATGTTCTAGTCTGTAGACAAGAAAGCATGAAAAGGATGACAGGTTAAAAACTTCAAAAGGAGACACATCTCCTGCTCTACATGGCATTGTTCTTATACAATAGTTTTGGTCCAGATTCCAATATCTTTATTCACACTGAATAGCATTTTACTCCTGATTATAACTTCATGACTTCATTTTGTCAATGGCACTACTTGTGGAGCAAGATGCTATTCAATCTGAGTATGGGTATCAGAATTCGGCCCTCAGGAGTGACAACACATAAATTCCCAAGGAGCAGGAGATGGCTGAGATTTAGGGTATCAGTTAAGATTAGCCTGGTTTGGCCAATATAACTGATAAAGAGGAGGTGGAGTAGTGGTTTTGTTAGAGCAGGGAGTGGGCAGAAATATCATGAGGATGTGTAAGATCCTGAAATGAAAAGAACAGAAAGATGCATATCCTGGAAGACTCATTGGCTCAGGGGACTGGTAACAGAATAACAACCTTTTCCACCTGTAGTTACTGGTTGACTTTAAATTACTACTACTTAAAAACTGTTGAGAGGTCTGTGAAATAAGCTGGGGAATCCTGTTTGGTTTCTGGTGGAGCTGATTCATCATCACAGTTTTAACTAATTGTCTATCTATGCTGAAAGGACTGAATGGAGATGGGCACTATTTCTCAACCTTAGAAATGACCCCTACAGGTCAAGGTAGCGGCAATTTAGATGGTAGGGATGCATGTAGAAGGTTGCACTGCTGTTGTAAGATTTGATCCTGAAATGGACTCGCATTCTTCTAAATCAAATCTAACCATCCACCCTTTGTTTTAAAAAACATACTCCTGTTTTAGGATTTTGAATTCTCCATGAGACAAGTCTGTAGCACTCGTCTCCTACAGAATTTTCATTTTCCCAATTGTCCTGCATTGTTTTCATTGTTGGCCTGGTATCCAGCAATATCAGCAATCAGAGCCTTGTGTTACAAAAAAGCTAGGCAAACAGGCCCCAGAGAATCATAGTTATCTCTATTGCTTCTTCTATCTCCTTTCCAATCTGTATCTGATTTCAATCTCTCTGCAGCTCTTGTCATCTCCATGCTAGCCAGACTCAGTCTTGGAAGCCCTCAAGCCTGGAATACGTTCTACAGCTGCACAACTTTGATAATCCTTACAACAGAGTTCTTGAAAGACAGTAGCTGCCATCATCTAATCCCCTCTTATTTAATAATTCAGTTCACTTCTGCTCTAGAGACAATTTAGACCAGCTCAAGTCTAAATACGCCAATTACATCATAAAGCCTGAAGGGCCGTGTTGTATCTGTTCTAGCCTGACTTTCTTTATGCAAACAGGTTCAACCAATTCTGCGGAAGAATGAAATGGAAGTGATTTTAAGAAGCTTTTGATGTTTGAAATGTTTATTTAGATAGAGATAGGTCTGTTTACACATGTATGTATGTATGTGTACTTGTCAGACATCATGCAAACTGCTTGAGAAAGCCTTATACTATTGAGCCTGATTCAAAGCCCTTACTAGTCAATGGGACTACGGAGAGGCTTAAAATTATGCATGTGTGTAGTATTAATTGGGCCTACAAATTTACCCTAATTGTGAGCTCAATTGTAAGAAGTGAGTGAAAGTTCAGAAAATGTCACAATAGCCTACAATAAATGTTGATGGGGAAAGATACAAAAGGGAGACAGAATTAGTTAAAAAGCCTACTGTTATAACTCAAGCACTGTGTTAAGATCATGCCTGGTAAACCAAAAACGTCTGGGACTGGAACTCAGTGAACCAAAAATGGTGTTTTGGAAATTAGACCTAATTGGCAAACAAAATAATGAGGCAATGGGCTATTCTGCCCATCATTCCCTTTTGGGTGCCTTAAAAGAAAAGACTTTAGTGTGTGTGTGTGGGGAAGTCAAGCAGCAGCTGTCTGCCAACAACCAGTGACTGAAAGATGGGAGAACAGGAACAAACAAGCTTCACCACCATGGCTTTCCTCCCTCCCTCGCCTACTGGAACCCTGGGATCCACTGTGACACCAGTGGGTCTTCGTTATCCTACTACCAAGAGATATTTTGAACAGACTCAGCCAAAGGGAGGGACCCAGATGCAGGGCTGGCTCCAGGGTTTTGGCCGCCCCAAGCAGCCAAAAAAAAAAAAAAAAAGCCGCGATCGCGATCTGCGGCGGCAATTCAGTGGAAGGTCCTTCGCTCCCAGTGGGAGTGAGGGACCATCTGCCGAATTGCCGCCGAATAGCTGGACGAGCTGCCCCTCTCCCGAGCGGCTGCCCCAAGCACCTGCTTGCCAAGCTGGTGCCTGGAGCCGGCCCTGCCCAGATGATATCACTACCCCCACTGGCTCTGGCTAAATCGTGGACACCGTCTGGGGTCTGAGACTGTGTTGTTTTCTTCCCTGCCTGTGTATCTTTTGCCCGCCCCACCTTATTTCTTTTCTTTCCTATCCCTCCTCATTTGCCTTCTATTTAATAGAAGTCTGGCTTAGCCAGCCAAGACTGCATATTTTTCCAGTATGTCTGTGAGCCTGTGCCTAGAGAGGCAGATAAAAGCAATGCCTAAATACTCCAACACTGGTACAAGTTTGCCAAGTCTTGGAGTGGCTGATAAGACTGTGCCATGCCTGTGTTTCTCCAGCAGTAAGGTTGCAAATGAGAGTTAACACCAGAGACAAAAGTTGCATTTTCTATCTTTCCTGTTCTTTTCTCTCCCCTTGTGTGTATTTGTCTTGTTTTGCCTTCTAGAAAATGGGATCAGACTTTAAATAGAACAGCAACAGCAGCTCCAGCCCATCTCAACTAACTTTTTCAAAAAAAAAAAAAAAACGACCATTTAAGAGACTATCAAAGATTTTTTTCCTTCTAAAGACTCTCTATAGGTAAAGGAAAAGGGAACAAGGAATGCTGTTAAAATGAAAGTCTTGCTTAATACTTTACATTTTAAATGCTTTAACTGTTTTCCCTTCTTTTCTCTATCTTTAATAATAGGTTAAAAGTTTTTTTAATGATGTGTTTGCCATGGTACTAAGCAGGCTGAGGTCTTTGGGCTGGTCCACACTAACCCCCCACTTCGAGCTAAGATACGCAACTTCAGCTACGTTATTCACATCGCTGAAGTCGAACTCTCTTAGTTGGAACTTACCGCAGGTCCACACGCGGCAGGCAGGCTCCCCCGTCGACTCCGCGTACTCCTCTCGCCGAGCAGGAGTACCGGCGTTGACGGCGAGCACTTCCGGGATCGATTTATTGCGTCTAGACAAGACGCGATAAATCGATCCCAGAAGATCGATTGCTTACCGCCGGACCCGGAGGTAAGTATAGACATACCCTTTGTTTACCAAATGTTAAAGGTCGTTTAAAACTGTTTAATGTTGGAAATTTACAGGGTCATGTTAACACCTTTAACTCTTTGGGCTGATATATAAGGCCCGACTTGAATTGTGGGACGAACTTTAAATAATTGCGGCTGAGTTGCGAACAAGACATGGAAAATCGTGGAAAAGTAATAATGGACCTTTATGAATAGCAGTAATTTGGAAAAGCCAAAGTAGACCTATATGTTTAAGAAAAATTTACTGGAACGATAGAACACTGAAGTATTATGTTATGCCTGCTAATATTTTTGATAACCAACCATTTTGCTGCAACTATATTACATGCATTTTAAAACAGTGACCGGTACAATATAAAATTGAGAAGACTAAAAGTCTCAACACAACTGCTGTAGAAATCGAGTCCAGTCACTTTAGCCTTTTACAGGCATTGAATGGTAGTGCAGTATTAACTGCATAATCAAAATGCAAAATTGTGGACTGTGCAAAGTAAGCCAATTAAAATAAAAATTGCAGTGGAAGCCGCAAGATCTGCAATTTCCGTACTGTGGTGGATGAAGTAGGGCTGTACTCGTATAGACCATCAAATGTAGTATAATGTGCTTAAGTGTTTTGCTGGAATGGGATTTAAAGAAATTGCTTCAAGTGAATGGGGCTAAGAGAAAATATTTTATAACTTTCTAAAACATTTCTAAACATTGTTTCCAATAACTGAGGGGCATATACAGAATACGTGGTGGTGTCCGGTAGTATAAAAATAACATTTGTAGTGTTTGGGATGAACTACTTCACCACTCATGAGAGAGACATCCCAATCTTGTATAAATATTTGATATATAGACAGATTAGATAGAATATATACATATACAAGGAACCAAAGATTGTAATCAATTGTATTTTATGTTATTTTATATTCATGAGTAATAAGAACATGCTAGTAAATATTTAGCACTTACAAATGCAACCTTTTATGTATTGTTGGTGCTAAAGGTGCTGTTGAGACATCAGTCACTAACTTGTCCTGTGTGATTTACATGGCCATTAATAATACTGCATCTCTTCATTGCACCTGGCTTGCTGGCAAAGAGGCACCAGAAGATACAAAATACTTTCTATTTTACAGGTAAGGGTCTGCTTCTATTTTTGCCCCTTGTTAGTTTCCTTAAGATAATAGTGTCTTACAAACTAATCTAATTTAGGTATAATAGCTACACTGAAGAATGCCAAGAATACAGTAAAGACAAATGGAAGAGAAATATTGGTTGCCGATTTTCAAACACTTACATAAAGACAAGTGAAATTGACGAAGTTGTCGTACACATTAATGGGTCAAGCAAGTACACTGCAATCAAACCTTTTGAACAGTTATTTAATCCAAATGCCATTGGTGAGTAAATATTTTTAGTTTTTACACATTAAAATATCAGTATAACTTCTTAGATCTTGGTGAAATGTTTGCAGTGAAATCTTTAAAAAATCTGGTATAAAACTCAAACTTCCTCTGCATTTTGGTTTAAAGGTTTGCTGAAATTCCTTGGTGGTTTGAATGATCCATGGTCCAGTTTAAGATATGGGCTAGTTTAAGGTTTTGCATGGATATTTTCTGAAATTGGAGGTGTTAGTGTGGAACTAGGGGAAATATGATTTTAACTGTGTGGTTTTAACAGTTAGGTTTAAATTCTAGGACAATAAAAAATAAGAGATAGAAATAACCTATTAGTGCATCTAATTTATCTGTCTGCCAAAGTATGGTTTCAGTATTTTTTTTACTGCTTTATCTAGTCTAGTCTTAAATGTCCCAAGCAATGCAGCTTTTACCAGTTTTTATTATACAGTTTAACACATTTCATTGGAAGGAAGCTTTTCCTGATAGGTTAATTTTCCTTTTCTTAATGTCATCCCTTTAGTTTATACCCTCTTGATCCTCTTATATAATTCCTCTCCCATCTTAGTTTTTACAACCTTCACTTATTTATAGACTTATCACATTTCCTTTCATATGTTGCCTAACTAAGAGAGACATATTTAACTTTTTAAACGTACATATTCAGTTTCAATGCTCTTCTCTGAACTTCTTGCAATTTTTCAGAAACTTTATGGCAGCATGGTGCCTGGAATACACTGAAGTATTGTATTCCAGTCACCATATTACCAAAGGGATGTTGAAAAACTGGAAGGTTTTACAACACAGATGGACTCAGCAGGACATATAGAAGCACCTTTGGCACAGGAGAGGCAAGATTTGTGTGTGGAGGGCAGCCTCCATATACACAATTCTAGGGGGCATGATCCAACCCCTAAAATAAGGCAACATGAAATGATGTATGGTGACAAAAGCTTAGGGTGACCAGATGTCCCAATTTTATAGGGACAGTCCTAATATTCAGGGCTTTTTCTTATATGGTCACCCAGGGCCGGCTTTAGGCCGATGCAGCAAGCCCCGCCCCCAGGAATCGGGCCCCGCTCTTGCTAAAGCCGGCCCTGTGGTCACCTATTACCCCCCCCACACACTGTCCTGATTTTTCATATTTGCTGTCTGGTCATCCTACAAAAGCTGATGGAGGCTAAGGAGAAAAGGGGGAAAAGGTTATAGCAACAAGACCTATTTTGCATGAAAAAAAATCTCCTTACCTTCTCTTTGAGAATAATGAATTTTACAAGGGATGAAATAATTGAAAGGTTTTTTTTTTTTAAAATCTTGTAAAGGGTTTTAATAAAGGAGGAGAGTTACTCCGTAATTGTTGATATATCAGTGGCTTTAGCTACTTTTCAGTATTTGTTTTTCCACTGATATATTCAGTTCTTTTAAACCCCTTCCTATCATACAACAAACTCAAAGTGAAATTCATGGGCTGTAAATTCAACCAGATCCAAACCATAGCCAAACTTTGAACAACCTCCTGCCAAGAGACTTGCTTTATTGGTAACACACTGGTATTTTATTCATTTTCTAGAGAAAGTGAATCCTCCCAGAAATGTCACCGTGTCTTTAAAACAAAACAACCTTCTGGTCACGTGGGAAATGCCAACTTCTTCTTTCATAAAGGATTGTTTTGAATATGAACTTAACATCTACAACTGGAAGACGGGTTACAACAAGGTAACTGCTTGTTAAAAGTTGAGGTATTCTATATAGAACTTGTCTATGAATTGTCTTTCTTATATGTCTAGAATAGGTCTCATATGTAATCTAGCGAAAAAGTCTTCTGGTTCATGGACATCTTTTGAGTTTCAAATTATTCATGTAACCAGAACTCCAACTACCATCCTCTAAAATCTACAGATCTAGTGTCAAATCTTAGTCCTACTGAAATCAATGGCAAAACTCCCACTGACTTTAATGGGGCTAGGATTTCACCCCTAATTTTTAAATCAGCTTTCTTTTACGGAGCATTTTTTGTGTGTGCCTACAATGAATTATACCCACATTATAGCTTGGAAAACACTACTGGAACAATTTAAAATGTTCATCAATTTTGGATGCTCATCTTGATGCATCCAGGTCCATTCTGTTAAAGGTACAGGTGCTCCCAAAACCAGTGAATACTTTTGAAAATTTTGGCCTGAATGAATTGCAGGTGAAAAATGGTGGATGTAATTAATTGTGGGTGCAAAATTGTGCCCACAAATATGGAAGTTTTGTGTGAAAATCAAGTCTTTGGCGTCCACCTGTAGGCTATTAAAACTAATTTAAAAGAAGAACAAACACAATAATCAATTTGTAACAATGCTTATATTTATGCCTAAAGCAAATATTGTAAATTTACTTCTGAAGTTTAGTAACTGTAGCAATTTAAGTGTTGTTGTCTTGACCTTATTAGTCTTAAGAAATCTATGACAGAGTTGTGTTGTTTTTAACAGACATGGGAAACGGAGTTAAATAGTTTCAGTTTAAGGATTGATGACACCTGCAGATATTCCATACAGATAAGAGCTAATCATCAATCATGGTGTAGTGAAGGATTTTGGAGTGAGTGGACTGACTCTCTTTATATTGGTAAGAATCAAAATGTATTTGTTGTCTAATAGTTACTTTAATACATATGTTACTGAAGGCCAAATTCTGTTTAATCATGAGCATGTACAGCTACCATTAACTTCAATGGAAGCCATGCAAGTGTATCTGAGGACGTACATTGACTCTTTAATTGTTGCTACTACTTGCTATCTCTGGGTAGTCCAGAATATGGGTTCCATTCATAAAGAAACTTGTGGATAAATGAAACATTTGTTTGAAAGAACGCTTGAAAATAGTTTAGATCCCAAATTGAGGTTTTAATTAAAAGAATCAATAAAAACAGCTTCGTAAAAATAAACATGGTGTTGTGAACACAAATGTAATTGTATTGCTAATACAGTAACTCCTCACTTAAAGTCGTCCCGGTTAACGTTTCGTTGTTAAGTTGCTGATCAATTAGGGAACATGCTCGTTTAAAGTTGTGTAATGCTCCCTTCTAGCGTTGCCTGCTTTGTCTACTGCTTGCAGGAAGAGCAGCCCGTTGCAGCTAGCTGGTGGGGGCTTGGAACCAGGGTGGACCGGCAGCCCCCTATCAGCTCCCCGCTCCCCTAAGTTCCCCGTGCAGCAGCTGCCTGCAGTTCAGCTGTGTCCCTCCCCCCACTGCCATGTGCTGCTCCTGCCCTCTGCCTTGGAGCTGCTCCCCAAGACTCCTGCTTGCTGTGCGGGGGGGAGGGGAGGGAAGGAAGAGGGGTGCTAATGTCAGGGTGCCCCCCTTCCCCCGCTCCTGCACCCCGCTTATCTTCCATAGAGCAGGGGGGACAGACCAGGACTCAGGACAGAGGGAGCTTGCAGCCGCATCTCAGCAAGCTGATCTAATTAACAAGGCAGTGTGCTTAAGGGAAATGCGCATATCTCCCTCCATTCCTGCTGCCTTGTGTAGAGAGAGAGAGTTAACCCTTGAGGGCTCAGCCAGTTGCTAGTTCATCATTTAGCAGTAAGTGAAATATCCCACCCTCTGACTCTTCCACCTCAACTAAGCTTCACAATCATTATCACTGTGTACCAGTATTAAATTGTTTGTTTAAAACTTATACTGTGTGTGTGTGTGTGTGTGTGTGTATATATATATATATATATATATAATATAGTCTTTTGTCTGGTGAAAAAAATTCCCTGGAACCTAACCCCCTCATTTACATGAATTCTTATGGGGAAATTGGATTCGCTTAACATCGTTTCGCTTAAAGTCACATTTTTCAGGAACGTAACTACAACGTTAAGTGAGGAGTTACTGTACATGAGACCCAGAAGGTGAAACTGACTGGTTCAAGTTTTAGAGCTGGTTAAAAAGGATTCATTGAACTACACCCACAACTCTCTTTGAAGTTAATGAGGGCTGTGCATGCTGGCACAGCACCTCTGGCACCTCTGGCACCTCTGAAATCAGGGTCCTAGGGGAGTGTATAGATCTCCCGCCTGCCTACTGATAGAATGTTGGAGCATTGGCTATGTCTACACTTGCAGAGTTTTTGCACTGTCAGTTTCAATGGTGATAGTGAACCGGTGAAAGAAAAGCGCTGGTTTGTGTACTCACTTACTTCCACAGGCATCAGAGAGTGTTTATATTTGCAGCACTTCCATCAACGATGAGAGCAGCTATTCCACACTGCAGCTCTCTCCATTTTGACGATGGGTCTTGTGCGAAGGTGCGGTTGTGATCGTGGGGCATCCTGGGTCCCTGCACAGCCTCCTCTCCCCAAACACTGATCAGCTCCAGTAGCTCAGCATTGCTCCAAGCAGCGGATCCTTTGCTCCATGGAGCAGGCATTGTCGCCTGGCCAGATGATAAGTGAGCACTTGCAAGAAAACAGGAAGGGGAGTTTCAAAGTTCCCGGGGCTTTACAGGGGGAGGGGTGGATGTCTGTTTACCTGGCGTCACAGCAGCAGAGCTGCTGCCAGAGTGGTCACCTAGGCACTGTGGGATATCCTGTGGAGATTAAAAGCTGTGTAAACAGGAAAAACGTGTCTTCAGTTGCACATCACCGCAAAAGCATCATGGTTTTCTCTTTGTGGTGAAACTTCTGAGTTTTACTGCAAAAAGTCATGGCCAAGTGTAGACGGTCCCATGGTTTTTGCGCAAAAAAGGGACTTTTTCCACTTTAAATGGCAAGTGTAGACATGATTGGTGCAATACTATTTCAGAGAAATCAATGCCACCTCCTGAATCTACCTCTTGTAGTAATCTGCAGTGTCCTTAGGTGTCTCCATATAATTACTAGCCTGGGGCAATTTTGCTGTCCATGTGAAATATGACAAGATCCTAGCCTGAGCTGGCACAGCTGGGTCTGACATGCATCACACCTGAAGAAATCAGCATGTCCTGCTAGCTGTTTACTTCTTTAAATTTGACACATACCTGACACCCCCCCACCCACCCACACACGTGGGTGCTGGTGTGCTAATGTCAAAAGTCAAAGCAAATGGTGAGGTCACGTACTCCTTATTAGAAGTTACCTGAACTCCCATGGGATCTGTGAAGGTTAGTATCTTTGGAAGGCATTAATTTGCCTAGATCTGATCCACTTGATACTGCATTTCCTGATTGCTGAACATGTTTTCATAGAAGTAGCAGTTATCTTATCATGACACATTATTGACTGTTTGTACTCAGCCATCCCCTCTCACTCTTATCTTTGGAGTTATATTTCTTTACTTCCTGATTTTCTTTAAAAAAAAATGTTCTTCACTTTGGTCTTCACTTTACCAAACTCTTCAACGCCCTTATACCTCTTATCTAATGAACATTAATGTGTTAATCTGCCTACGTGGCTCTAATGAATTCGCTGGGTACCTTCACCCAGCTCCTGTAACAGAGTGTCCTTCAGAAATGGGGTCACAGCAATGCTCTGGTGCTGACCAAGCTCGGCTCACAAAATGAAGGAAGGCAGTATAGGCAGGGCCGGTGCTACCGTTAAGGCAAACTAGGCGGTTGCCTAGGGTGCCAAGATTTGGGGGCACCAAAAAGCGGTGCCCCCAATTTTTTTTTACAGCGTTCCTGGGCTGGGCTGCCAGTGACGCGCTGACACGTGCGTCTCAGACTCCCTCTCCCAGTGCAGCGGCTGCTCTATGCAATTATTGTCATTGCCGGCAGGGGCGGCGTGCTCGGGGAGGGGGCGTAGCAGAGGTGAGCTGGGGTGGGGAGCCTTGCAGCAGCTCCCCCCCTCGCCCTGAGGCACACCCCCCCCGTGGCAGCTCCTCACCCCCCTGGCTCGGGGAGCTATGCGGCAGCTCCCCACCCCAGCTCATCTCTGGGCGGCATGGTCAGGGAGGAGGCAGAGCACCTCAGGGCAGAGGGGGAGGGAGCCGTGCGGCGTGCTTGGGGAGGAGGGGGGCACCTCAGGGCAGAGGGGAGGGAGCCGTGCGGCAGCTCCCCACCCCAGCTCACCTCTGCTCTGCCTCCTCCCCGAGGGGGGGGGGCCTCAAGGCGGGGGGGGGGGGGAGCTGCCGCAGGGCTGTGGGGGGTGGGTGGGGACGCAAGGTGGAAGTTTCGCCTAGGGCGCGAAACTTCCTTGCACCGGCCCTGAGTATAGGGCTGCTTACATTGGCCCTACTCCGTTTCCATGCTGCGGAAATTTTCCCCAGCCCTTCGTGACTCATTTATAGGTCCTATAAGCCAGTGGTTCTCAAACTTATTTGATTGCACTCCCCTTCTTTGTGTCTGTAGTAGTTTACAACTCCCCCTGCCCTGCTCCTGGCCCACAAGTACATATATGGCCATCTTAGCTCTGAAGGCAGAGTGGGGAGCAGTGGCTGCTGGCGGGGCGTCTAGCTCTGAAGGCAGCACCGCCACCAGCAGCAGAGCAGAAGTAAGGATGGCAATACCATACTATGCCACCCTTATTTCTCCACTGCCTTCAGAGCTGGATGCCCAGCCACCAGCCGCTGCTCTCCTAAAGCTTCTCACCCCCCTTCCCCGGAATACATTCCACGCCCTCCCAGTTTGAGAACCTACTGGAGCTGGGGTCAAAATTTGCCACATTCACAATATCTGAGTTGCCATGGTTAAGGCCCTGTGTTAAGTTCTTTGAGCTACCATTAGCTGGGCCCTTACTTCTTATTTGAAGTATGAGGAAATACTGCCTTGTCTCAGGTAACACACTGGAAACTTTGGCAAACGTTGAATCTGCAGAGGATAACTGGGTAAATCTTAGTCTGCTTGTCTGTGGAGAACTTATTAGACCTGATCTAGCCTACGACAATGAACTATTTATGCGTCAAGTGAGTCTGCGACGACAAACTGGTTTCACATGTGTTTTGCAGAACTTGAACTTGCAACCTCATATGTTGCATCACTAATTAATTGCAAACATGAAACATATTCAAACTGATGAAAAAACTAAAAATGTATTTAGATGTCTCACCAGGATCATTCATTTAAAACCTAAAAATAACCCAATGAAATTCCCCACAACAAACTGAATTCAGTTTCAGTTAAGGTTGCTAGGTTTCTCTTATTTACAAACAGAAATTTGTATTCCTGATTCCTGCCTTATCTTATGGCCCTTTAGGATCACGGGCAGCCAAAATAAGACACAGAAGCTTCAGGGCTACTCTACTCTGTGCTGGGAACCAGGAATAGCTCACTCCAGTTTTAGGACTAAGAAAATGTAAATGCATCTTAGGGCCACTTTCCACCCCACCCTCCCAGTCTTGTACTGAGCCCAGCTTGGCCTCAGGCCTCATTTTCTTGGAAGTAGAATTGTAACCAGAATTTTTAAAAAATCTATTTAAATCAATGGTGGTAATTAATATGCACAATGTTAGCCCAGGTCGCTGAGCTGCAATGACACAGGACCCAATCCTGCAATCGTTTCTCATGTGAGCACTCCATACCCACAAAAGTAATCCCAATGACTACAGGGAGACTACCCACATAAGATCTGCAGGCTTAGACACTTAGTCCTTCATTCCCCAGAAAAGAATCTGTTCCAAAGGTGCATATTATTTCTTCTTGAAACCTGAGCATTGTGCTGCTCACCAATTTATGTCCTTTCAATTATTCAGTGACAGTCATTCTGTCACCTCGATATAGGCCTTGTGCCGTTCTCATAGACATACGAGGGGGGAGGGGGACGGAGGGGAAACTTTAAAATCTAAATGTTCAAATGTAAATGTTTTCTTTATATAGCTCAGAGTGGTGAAATGTGACATTAGGAATACCTTTGTCGAATAAGAACATTGTCCTTAATGTAATAGGTGTTTCTGCCTCCAGGCAGTTAGAGCAGTGACATTCTTCCTGAGGGAGGATAAACAACAGACTTCAAAGAAAGATCGGTGGTCTCACCGCATGTTTTATTGGCCATGGCTATTAAACCAGGAAAATCCAACTCCTGGCTTGAAAGGATTAATATAAATAACTGAAGGGTAGTTTAACGGAAAACAAGTTCTTTGTGACCACGATTATAAGCAAACTGTCTCTTTATTGCAGACTCAGCCATATTTGCCTGTTGTGTGAAATTGCACAACTCAGTATGTTAACATAGCAGGGTGCACTGTACTGATAATGATTGTGGCCTTGATTCATGCCAGTTCTTAGCTCGCTTTCTTTCTTCTACGCATACGTTGAAACCTAGCCATGTGGAAGAAGTTCTTAATGCTGAATTTGCTACAGATTGTTCCCCAGTCATAAGTATAAAATATTTTATATGGAGAGATATAAATTGTGATTCAGTTACATCCATGTAAACCCACTGAATGAAGTAAGCTTGGTTCCAAGGGCTTATCTATTAGAAGAATTTTTCCCAATGTGTTTTTTCCAAAGGAAAACATCTCACCACTTTTTTTTTTTAAATCTAGGAGAAAACCAGCCAAGGACTCCATTAGACTCCAAGGCCTACACGGTTCTCATTGCACTTATAGTATTCGTATGTTCCATGGCATTGCTTATTGCTATAATATGCAGAAAGTAAGTATTTTTGATTAGACAATAACTAATTAGCACAGATTAAATTTGCACGAGGAATCATTAAATGAATTATTCTGTACTCAAAGGACTTTTATTTTGGTATTAAACATGATTAATACAAATCAAGAATATTGATTAAATGATAAAAGTTGTTCAGTGAATTTGAGGAAATTTAGGAGAATGCTCAATTTAATCTCAAATTCCAAAGACATGTGTTGAAAGAAGGACTGAAACGGTCTCAGTGTGACTGTCGGGAAGCTACCTTATCTACTTTGCTCAGTCCTCACTAAGATGGACCCTGCTGGACATTTATCTCCACAGAAGAATGTCACCTTGAGACCCAACAAAAGCTGCTAAGAGAAACCATCTTTCATGGTTAAAGACAAAGGCCAGTATTTTCAAACTTGTGCTCTAAAACCAGGCACCTGAAATCCATATTTAGGCACCTGTACATTTGGCCTGATTTTCACTGACTTCACTGGGAGGCAAAGGTGCTCTGCACCACCAGAAAACCAAGCCAGTATTGACTCAGACCCTTAGCATTTAACTATTCTCTAGGGCTGGTTTGGCAAGTATTTTATAGCAGCTTCTTTTTAATATTAGGGCCCAGTGGATGCTCTTGTAGCCAACCTTCCAAAGACATTGTGTGAACAAAGCCAGAAATATTTTGGATTTCAGTGGCAGTATCCAGAAATCAAAGAAGAGAATCATAAATCAATGATGAAGTCAGTTCATCAATGGTGATTCAAAGAATCAATAATGTAATTACAAACTCCTCTTCCTAAGAGATATATCAAGCAGCAACCATCAGGTTCACAATAAAAATGCTCCCAGTAATTTAAGCACTGTCCATGAATCCACTAACTGCCTGTTAATTTCTTTAATGGCTCCTAAATTAGTTGCTCACCTGATGAGTCCTCAGCTGATTTCCTTCCCACAAAGTTTCTTTTGTCAAACTAAAAGCACAGGTTGTGAAAAGAATCACTTTGGGTATGTCTGTACAGCTGACGTTAAAGCGCTGCTGTGGTAGCACTTTAATGTGGCTGTGTAGTCGCTGTTCCAGCGCTGGGAGAAAGCCCAGCGCTGTAAAAAAGCCACTTCCGTGAGGGGAATAGCTACCAGCCCTGGGAGCACAGCTCCAGTGCTGTAGCACTGTCTACACTGCCACTTTACAGCGCTGAAACTTGCACCGCTCAGGTGGGTGTTTTTTCATTGTGTATATTCCCAGTACAGAGTTAATTCGGGAGTTGGCCTTAATTTCCCTCCTATCAACACACAAAACCCTCCTATCCAGATTTCACAGGGACTTAAACCTGGGCTAGCTGGTATGGCTGGAGGTGTGGGTTAGAATTCCAGTTCCACTTTCACCCAGGCTGGTAATCCATCCACTCTGCAATATGGACACAGGCTCACTCATTTGAGTGCTGATAGTTCTCCACTACCTTCCCACAATTCCCCTTTTGTGCCCAGGACAGACATGTTCTCTCACAATTCACTGGGAAGGAATTAAAGAGCAGGTCATCTTACTTCAGCTCAACGAACATGGGATAGGCCTCTGAAGTCCTAGCCACACACATGCACGAGTGCAGCACCAGTGAGGTATGTCTACACTGTGATAAAATCCTGATGGCGCCAAGTGTCGGAGCCCAGGTCAGTTGACTTGCGCTCAGGCTGTGGAGCTAAAAATAGCATGTTTGAGCTTGGTCTGGAGCCTAGGTTCTGAGACCCCCACGAGGCGGGAGGGTTAAGCCTGAACCCCAACATCTACACTGCAAATTTTATAGCCCTGCAGTCTAAGTCAACTGACCCAGGCCAGCTGTGGCTGTGCAACAGGTCTTTTATTGCAATGTAGACCTCCCCAGTAACTAGGGTATGGCTTTGCAGTGTGGCTGCTCACACTTGGGCTGGGACAACATAAGTGCTCAGACCAGGTGCCAATCTGTGCTGTGAAGATATTCCCTTTGTGGTACAAGTAACTCACCTGCCAAGAGCTGAAATGATAGCAGCATGTACAGCAGTACTATCTCCAGTCAGCTCTGTCCCATTCCTTAGCTGGCACCCCAGCTGCCTTACCCTGAATGACTCTAGCTGAACCACACTTCAGGGGGTGCCATGTACATTCCAAATCATTTTGTGACGCCGTGTTCAAAATAGGATGCAGAATGTTCCATCTTTTCTCCTTGGTAAGGACGAGGAAGTGCCTAGGTCCCCTGAGAAATCTCTTTCTTAGGCACCCTCTTTCTCCCCCATTCCCAATGATTCCTTGGCCACACACCTCAGGCATAAAGTTATAGCCCAGCGGTTCTCAAACTGGGGGTCGGGACCCCTCAGGGGGTCACAAGGTCAAAACATGGGGGGGTCGCGAGCTGTCAACTTCCACCCCAAGCCCCGCTTTGTCTCCAGCATTTATAATGGTGTTAAATATATTTAAAAGGGTGTTTAATTTATTAGGGGGGTCGCACTCAGAGGCTTGTGATGTGAAAGGGGTCGGCAGTAAAAAAGTTTGAGACCCACTGTTATAGCCTGTACAACAGTGAAAAGCCTTCAGTGTGTTTTCAGTATTCCAAGTCTTCCCTTTTGTGACTTGTAATTTTCATCATCACGTCACTAAATAATTAGCTAAGCACAAATATGTGCTTTAACATTTACCTTCTGAGGCAGTAGCCGTTTTAGCCAGGGAATGTCTACCAACTACAATACTGCATGATAGTCATGGAAGACTTTGAAGGAGCTATCTGTGGGGTATAATTAAGTGCTCAAGTGGGAGAGACATAAAAGGGAATAAATTAGTAGCAGAAATTTACTTTAGACAATTTGATCAGAAGGAATGTGGGATAAAAAGAGCTTGGCAGGAACCAAAAAGGCTTTTGAAAAGGGCAAAGTGATGGTAATGGAAGGGTTCAACCAACCAGATGAACTGAGACAGTGGTCATAAAATAAAAGGATCAGTAGCTTAGTGGGGATAGGACAGGACTGCCTCTTCCTTAAGCAGCACATAACAGAGTGAAACAGAAACAGGCAGTTCTCATCTTGACCCGAACCAACACAGATGAAAGTGGTGCAGATGTAATGCTAGCTGAGCATCTAATTAATAGAGATTACCCTAATTGTTGCACTGGTTTTAAACCAGTGTCATTTCACTTAAATCATACCAGCATGTGATGGAATGGACAATTAGGTCATGTATATTAAGGATATAGTTTTGTCACGGAGATCACAGGATCATGTCTGGGCACAAAAGGGGAATTGTGGGAAGGTAGTGGAGGACTATCAGCACTCAAATGAGTGACCCTGTGTCCATATTGCAGAGTAGGTGATTACCAGCCTGGGTGAAAGTGCAACATTGAGCCTCAGCATCAAAGTTTGGTGTAAGGATCTTGATATGGTTCCATAAGGGGTTATGGGATTTTAATCTTGTTTTTGGCGGGTTCTGCAAGTCATGGTGCTGTGGGATTCTCATATTTGCATTGACATGATTAAGAAAGTGAAATAGAGCTTTTTTCTGAGCAGACACTATAGACTTTCATTTTGGTGATCAAACACTGTAACTGAGACTCTGATAAACTCAACCTAAGCTTTTGAGTTACTTCTCACTGTGTTTCTGTGGGGACTGACCTGTTTAGCCTTACTTTGTTTTATTTATGTTTATGTATAACTGTGAAGATAATGTATGTGGATTATAAAGTAGCCTCATTATAATGCAGAAATTGTTGTTCTTATGTTTCTTTAGCGTTATAAGATTTTATAAAGTTAGTAGTTGAGAATTAAGTTAATTCCTTTTACAATTGGTTTGGGGAGGCTGAGCCTGTGCAAGCCTTGCTGAAAATCTTCAGCAACTGAATTCTGGGTCTCCATGTGCTTTCCTAGGGGAGATGGGTTTTTGAAAGCACTGGAGAAGGGAAGTGAAGTAAACTCTAGCCCACCCACCCATACAGGACACATGGGCTTTTACAAAGCAGAAGCCCTGTCTGCTTACCCTCAATGGAGTCCAGCTACAAGGAACCTATTGCGCATGTCCCAAACTACACCCAATTTCAGGAACTTCTGGGTGTGGCGTGCTAATTTTGCATTTGCCAAGCACCAATGACCCAGTCATTCCTAAACCCCCACCTCCTTCCCCATAGATCTCTTAAAGAGATATTTCTCTGTTAGGTACATGGGTTACAGCTGCACTATCCCAGGAGCACCTCAGAGAACAGATTATGACACAGAGTCACATTCCCTCCCCCTTTCCCTGGGAAAAGCATAAGTTATTGCATTCTTTTTCACTGAGCAGCACTTCACTACTCACTGTGTGCTAGGTCAGCTGTTCTGGCCAGTCATTAGGGTGAGTGGAGTCTCCTCCCTCATTGCTCTGGCCTCAGGCATTTACTAGAAGGTGAGTAGCCCCCCCCTGCTCGCCTCCCTGTGCAGGAGTCAATCTGAGCAGGAGTTCGGGCAGGCGAGTTGAGTGTATGTGACAATAGAGCCCATGGGAATCAAATCATTGTTAATCATGGTAGAGTGAAGAAAACAACTGATTTTTTCATAAACCTGCTTTACTGTTTCCACAGGTATCACTTATGGAGCAGACTATTTCCACCAATTCCAACACCCCAAAACAGTATAAAAAATCTGTTTTTAAATAAGAGCTATCAGGTAAAAGAAATGAGTTACATTATTTGCACAGAGGAGACAATTAACAGTCTTTAGCTGCTGCCTCTTTCCTAGACATATGCTAAGCCTGTATTTCTTTTGTATTGTCCTCCTGGAGAGCAACTAACATTGCTTTGATTAAGAACTCCCTTCCTGCTGTTTATAACTTCCCATGTAAATATTACTTGTGAGCCACATTTTCAGACTAGTGCATGCAGAAATGCATGCACGTAATTTGTGTGTGCAATTAATGCAATAACTCAGACAATCCTCACTGCAAGTGCAAAAGACAAGGTAGAAACCGAATTAGCCATTTGCACCTGCAGTTAGTGAAGTTGTGTGTGCAATTATGGCAACTGTGGCCAGACTCTCAAACTGGTTTAAATGAGCAAAGATCTGTTGACTTTAGTGAAGACTTTAGACCTAGCCCTGTTTGTGCATTGTATATTTTTGTGAAATCCTAAAGGGTTGCCTTATATATTACATAGCTCTACTAAAAATAAGCCACAAAGTTCAAGGTATAAGGCCAAATCCTGGTAAAAGGACCAAACCTGGGTAGGAGACTTTGCTTGAAGAAATATCTGTAGCTAGACTAGGGCTGGCTACAGTTGTGTATTTGTGTGTGTGTGTGTGTGGGAGCAGTGGATGTGGCCTGCTACTACCTTCTAATGTGAGGCATGATATGTCCTGCCATGCCTGTAGCTTGCCCACTGGGGAGCCCAGGGGAAGCCATATACATTCCTTCAGGGTTTGAGAGAAATAGCCAGATTTTCAAGGGTGACCACATAAATGTGCACCCAAATCACACATTTGCTCAGGCAAACTGGCACGTAGGTGCATAGCGAGCTACCCATTGGAAGGCCAGAGCGCCAGCTTGCCTAGTCAGCTATAGGATTTGCACTTATGATTTAGAATTCACTTTTGGAAGCTGTGCCCACAAAGTGTTCCAAAGTGAGCCCAGATTGCTACAGATGCTGCCATCGCTTCGATGGGGAAAGGAGCTGTCTCCTAAACCGTGAAGTGGAGTTCGAGTCCAGAGGTATTTAATGGCAGATTTGTATAGGATAGTACAAGTGGTGTAACTAGGACTAATCTGATGAAATGAAGAAAGGGAAAACCAAGGCAGATTTATCTGGAAACATTTGCTGACAGCAAGATGTATGTGGTGGAGGAATGGTGGGAAGTGCTGGAAAAGTCCATCACATCGGAACCTTGAAACCTGAATGGACAAAGCACTAAAGAATGTATTCTAGGAAACATTCTGGGGCGGAAGGATGATCCAGTGGTTATAGTACTAGCTGGGAACTCTAGGTTCAATTGCCTGCTCTGCCACGGACTTCTTGGGCAAGTCAAATGGGGCACTGCAATCGGAGGTGTGAGTGTAGTATGTTACATGCCTGAGTAGCTTTAATCTACCCAGCTTGGGTACGAATGGCAGTGAACCCATGGCAGCACGGACCGCAGCATGAGCTAGCTGTCCGAGTAGGTACCCAAGGTTCCGAGCTTGTGCTGCAACATGCTGTTGGTATGTCTACTCCAGCTGCAACCACCCCCCCGATGGCAATGTACGTACCTTTAGTCTCTCTGTTTCAGTTCCCCGTCTGTAAAATAGGGATCATGGCCTCTCAAGGATGCTGTGAGAATAAGTACATTAAAGATTGTGAGCACTCAGATATTACAGTAATGGGGGATATGGAAGTACCATAGATAGATAGCCATGTGTTGGCACGGACGCAAACACCATCTAAGTTCTGTCTTCTGATCTGATTTACTTTGTGAAAACTGATGAGAAATCCTTTGGACTTAATATTAAGCAGTTTTTATGCCTTCTTATGTTTGCTATTCCTGAAACAATATAATTGCCTTACAGATAAGATGTAACTTCGCCTTGGCTTTTCATGGAGAATTCTGTATAGTAACTTGCTTCTAATTTCCCCCCGCCCTCTGAAAAGTTTTCCTTTGTTATTCCACAGTCTGATCAAGGAAACAGGCTTAAGAGATTATTGTATAAGCTTTCAGTTTGTTTTTAATTAAAGTAAAGTCAACTGTGGAAAATAACATGATTGGGTATGACAAACTGATTTTAGAATAAGAGAAATAGCAAATATTAACATAGCAGCTAAGCAATCTTTAGAAAAAGTGAACTGAGACAAAGAGCATTTTACGTTACTGAGAGCAGCATTGGGTTTTACTTAGCAATCTTTTTATTTAAAGTAAATTTAATGCAGGTGAACGAAACCAGATTGATAGCCCTAGAGGCAGAAGGCCTGTGTTTAGCAATAGAATACAATACAACATGAGCAGCCAGCAGTGCAAATTTCCCCCCACCACACCGACATGCCTTAGTTTGTTCTAATGGGACCACTTCTGTGCCAGATCAATTTTGGTGTCTCCGCTGAGATTGTCAGCATCATGGTGCTGCCCATCAGTTCTTAAATATTTAATGTTAACTCAGAAAAGGGCCTGTGTAAAAATGGCAATTCACAATTTCCATATTTATTGTGTTTCAATGACTCCAAGGCAACTTTGTTCAACTTACAAGTAAACAGATATTTTCTCTCTCTGCCAGCCCTACAAACTTAGCTTCGGATCATGAAAGTCCAACTGTGTTCTTTCTGGTTCATGTATCAAGGCCACATTCTACCCATAATTACTCCTGTGAAAGCGCATTTGGGGTGCAGAGGTCAGAATTTGGCACCACTATTCTTATTTAAGAATTTTCTATATGATGGATAGCCCCCTCACTCTCTCCTAATACTGTTCAGAGTGCTTTTCCTCCATAGATCTCAATGCATTTGACCAAGGAGGGAAAATATCATTGTCACTTTACAAAAGGGTGAACATCTGATCCCACTGAAGTTATGGCAAAATCCCCACTGAAGTCAGTGAGACCAGGATTTTACAGGACTTGTCCAAGGTTATGGCAGGACAGTGGCCAAGCCAGGAATAGAACCCCAAGTCTCTTGCATGCTGGTATGGTGCACCACACTGCTCCTCTCGGAGCTAACAGGCCAGAGTAAAACAAGAAGTCAAGCATTGATTTTGCAATGAAAATAATTAGATATGACACCAAATGCATCTGGGGCAGATCTGTGGAGTAAGATAGTGCCATTTTCCCCACAGTCAGTGCTTTAGCATTTTTCTTCTGCCAGTTAAGGCAATATTATACAAAGCTGGATTTGTGACCTTTGTCAATGGATCTCACACTGCCATGACAAAAGTGACATGCGTCAGCAAAATGGCCACAACCAGCAACTGGGTTAATTGTAATATAAACTTTTACACAATTTATCCCCTGCTGAGACATACTTCGCACCCTGCAAAATTTCATACTGCTTGGATAAGTTAATGGGTGCGTTGCTCCTGGAATACACCAGTTTCAGAGGTTAAATCTCAAGCAAAAATATATATTTTTCAATTGTGTGTTTTTAATCATTGTGAACTTTGAACTGTAGCTCAAATCATTTTTCACCTACCGTTTGATAGCTAAAAGCAGTGTTTATGTTTCAGAGAGCACGTACCTTTACCAGTGAAACGGAAACAGAAATTGGAAGTTGCTTTGAAGATCTTGGAAGTTATGTTGAAGACCTTTCTTCGGATGTCCTTGAAGATTCTTGTAATTCTTGTAATCTGTAATCCATTCATGATCTTGAAATTAACGGGAGTGTTACTGCAAGTGACAACAGCTTAGATTGGATGAACCTTCAGATCATACCATCATCAGTGCTTCAAAGACAGAAAAATATGTTGCTTCCAAGAGGTGAAGTTGCTTAATTACAAGCTAACACATACAAATGTCACTTTTTAAGAAAAAAGTGAGTACATTCTATGACACTCTGTACCTCGAGGGGACACCCTACACCCCCACGTTCATCTTTATAAAATGATTGTGTGGTATCCAATGCAAAGTGTGTCATGTTGGGTGTCTTCGGAAGGCTCATGATGCACTGAGCATGGTTGTTATAGTGATGTTACAGTAAGGTTATAGGTTATAATTTCATGTATATAGTTACGAGGCTGAAAATGTATCCTCATGGCTTAAAGCAAGCCCAGGCAAAAACTCTCCAAGAACAGAGAGGCAGTTCACACCTCATCAGGGCATGGATGGGACAAACCCAGCCCAGCCTCACAGGAACAATGGACATTGGCTTAGGCAGCAACAAAAGAATCTGTTAGACCCTTGAGGGAGTCACCCCTTCCTTTGGGCAGCTTGGGACTGCAATGTGGTAATGCTTACCTGACTCTGAAGGGGGGGCAAAGCCAAGAGGAAAGAAAGGACATGATAAAAGGGAGAGACCTTTTGCCATGCTCTCTCTCTTCCACCTACACTTACAGACACCACCACCCAAGTGACTGAAGCGCTGGTCAAGGGGAGAGCCTGACTGAAAAGCCAGCCTGTGGTGGGAAGCATCTAAGTTTTTAAGGACATTGAAAGTGTTAAGATCAGCTTAGAATGTGTTTTGCTTTTATTTCATTTGACCAAATCTGACTTGTTTTGCTTTGACTTATAATCACTTAAATCTGCCTTTATAGTTAATACATCTGTTTGTTTGTTCTACCTGAAGCAGTGCGTTTGGTTTGAAGCGTGTCAGAGACTCCCCTTGGGATAACAAGCCTGGTACATATCAATGTCTTTGTTAAATTGACAAACTTATATAAGCTTGCAGTGTCCAGTGGACATAACTGGACACCTCAAGATGGAGGTTCCTAGGGTTGTTTCTGGGACCGGAGTTATTGGCTAGTGTCATTCGCTTGCAAGTAGCTGGGAGCAGCTTACATGCCAGAGGCTGTGCGTGAATAGCCCAGGGGTGGGGGTTCTCACAGCAGAGCAGGGTAAGGCTGGCTCCCAGAGTCAAGGATTGGAGTGACCTAGCAGATCACTGGTCCAGACAACACCAGAGGGCAATGTCACACATTCTGTAAGCATCTCTTATCAAAGCGTGACAGCCAAAGACCTCTTCTGCTTGGCAGCTAAGAGTTAGAACCCTAATAACCTCAGTGAAGCTACCTCTACTTACATCGGAGCTAAATTTGGCCAAGTGGAACCACCCCTATAAGAGTGGGCTGAAGAACTGGTCTCCTATTGCTTGTTTTGTTCTCCGATAAGTGGAATATTTTTGTTCCTAGAACCGTATGTTCTGAGGAAGTGGTTAGGGAACTATCACACTTACATAAATCACATTTGAGTCTTTGCTCTTTGTGAGTGCAGGAGGGACACAGCCAGAAAGACTCAAAAATCAAAATACAGTGAAAGAACTTTTTCAAGAGATGGTGGCTTTGTGTTTCGTTACGCAAGTCCCTTGCCCTCCACTCCCTTTTTAAACTCACCTTTTCCCATACAAACAACCCCCCATGATATAAAATGGAACTCAATTATGATACATTCTTTGTTGCCTTAGCTGCTCTAATAGCTGGTACTATGAACTCCATCCTCCCTCCATCCTTCCCTTTTTTAATATTAATTCCCTCAGCATCCCATGTTTGTTGAACTCATCTTAGGTTGTAAGCTTTTTAGTTTGCAAGACCTGTGTCTTAATATCTGTAAAGTGTAATTTATATCAATGGAAGTATAAGCAAATACTAACAACTTACCTAATTAGGCAAACTGTACTCGATTCAATTTAAAATGTGGATTTTCTTCCTTTTTTTTCTTTTGGTAATTAGAACTGCTTTAATGGTGTGTGTGAAATTTGATGTGCAGAACTCTGTTTCATAGTATTTAACCAGAGGTCAAACATCAGGGCCTGATTCTCCATTACCTTGTGCAGTTAGTTACCATAGTGCAAAACGGGTGTAAAACTTTGTATTTGCATTCTTTTTGCACTGCTGTAATTGACTAAACAGGTGCAGGATAATGGCAGCTCAGGCTCATCTGGTCTTCTTAAATGACAAGAGTTTGTAAACTGTGAGGTCATGAGAGCCTGATTTTTAAGAGGTTACCTTCTGCAGCATCCAAAATAGGCTGCTTAATTTGCACATGCAATTGATAACTGCACACGCAAATTAGCTTTTTGCATGCACAACTAGTCACACTTATAAGTGATTGTGTGCATTCAGATAATTCTTTGCTTGTGCAATCAATGCAACCTTGGATTTTATGCATCAGGATAATAGCTTTGTGCACTGCAGTGGTATCACTGTGCCAAATTCAAACACGGATGAATTCATACTGAAAAGCATTCAGGGCAACATCTATAAAGTTCAACAGAAAACCAGGAAAAGTCACACATTCACATGTAAAGAGGAAGCCAACAGATTCTTGGTAGCTGCCCTTTCAAACATTGTGAAATGGTTAGCCTATCAGCGTAAAGCCCATCTGCACTACGTGCCGTCTACAGACAGTGCTGAGCACATTATCAGCACTTAACTAATAAATCGTCATCATTACTTTGAAAATGATGAGTGTAAAAAAAAAAAAAAAAAAGCCCGAAACAAAATATCAGGACAAATGGCGTCCCAACCGTACTTTGGTTGGGACGCGGGACAAACTCCTCAAAATCGGGACAGTCCCAATTTTATTGGGACGTCTGGTCACCCTACGCTGAAGGCAGGAGGGGCATCGGAGGAAGGTGCAGGAAGGGGCATCGGAGGAAGGTCTGCTTGTGCAGACGAAACAAATTCTTGGCCTACGTGCCGAAGTCAGTGGGAGTGGCAGGCATCCAGCACCTCTCTGGAGCATGTCCTGTGCCCTCTCATGGCTTCTTCTCGAGCATTTTCTTCACAACATCTGTGCTTGAGTGCCCGATATCTTCAGCAATGTACTGTTGTGCTAGGAATGCCTTTAACCTGAGGACTGGCCATTTGCCCAAACCAAAAACTGAGTGGGAGAGCATCCTCACCAGGGGAGCCCTGCTTGCTCCCCCAGCCTTCTCACTGTTCCCCTGGGTCCAGCTCTGCAGAGTGGAGACATCAGTGGGTGAGCACCACTGCTGTTCCCCTGCTTTCATCCCTCAGCTTTGGCTCTCCTGCTTACAACCAGCCAGCACCTTCCTCCGATGCCCCTCCTGCCTTCAGCGTAGGGTGACCAGACGTCCCAATAAAATTGGGACTGTCCCGATTTTGAGGAGTTTGTCCCGCGTCCCAACCAAAGTACGGTTGGGACGCCATTTGTCCTGATATTTTGTTTCGGGCTTTTTTTTTTTTTTTTTTTTTTTACACTCACCTGTCCGGGTCTTCGGCAGCAATTCGGCGGCGGGTGCTTCTGTCTTTGGGGGTAAGGTTTATTACCCGCTGCCGAAATGCCGGACGGGTGAGTGTAACAATTAAAAAGGCCCCCTTCAGCTATGGCTCTCTGGCTTGGGGAGGTCAGCTGGCAAATCCAACCTGTGGCTCTCCTCGCCTTCAACCTTGCCTCAGGAAACACTTGGCAGCTCTCACCTGCCCTTCCTGACTGACCTGGGCAGTTCTCACCTGCCTTTTCCTGACTGACTCTGGCAACCTCGACTCACCGTCTTTCTTCCTCTTAGATTCTCCCTGATCCTTTATAGCCCCAGATGTTGCACTGCCCTCTTAACTATCCAGCCTGGGAGCACCTCGTCTGGCACAGGGAAGCTGGACCTATTTCACTTACGGCAGCCAGCCACCCTGTGACAAGGTGAAAGAAAACCCTCAGAGAAATATTATTGCTCTTGCCTGGGATTTCTGAATGAGCCAAAGGGAGTTAGGCTCCCAACTCCCCATTAATTTCAGCTCCCTTAGGATCCTTGAGAATTCCAGCCTTAATCAATACAGTTTTCTGGTATTGCCTACATTATACGCTACACATTTCAGCTCTCAGTTGCACCAGTCCAACCCCAATGAAGCAGAGTTTAAGCCAGTGTTTGTTCTTTTAGTTTAATCTTGTTGCCTCCCTTGCAATCTGTATGCTTGCCTTGTGTAATCCACAGAGCACACTGTAAAATAAACCTGCAACTTTGTCTTGAAAGGGAACTTGTTTTGCTGATGCTCATGAGGTGTGGCAACTTGTGCAGAGTTTCTCCTAATACTATCAGGAAGTTAGTACCACCACTGTCCGGTGCTGTTGTTAAATAGGTGTCTGGTAAGGCAACTCCCGTCTTTTCATATGCTGTGTATTTAGACCTCTCTACTGTATTTTCCACTCCATGCATCTGATGAAGTGGGTTTTAGCCCACAAAAGCTTATGTCCAAATAAATTTGTTAGTTTCTAAGGTGCCACAAGGACGCCTCGTTTTTTTTTTTTACTTTAATTAGCCAGTTCCCAAACTGGTGTAAATTGGTATGACTCCTTTGAATTTTTGTGCCTAAAAATCTCCCTTCAGGTGATTTTAATGGATCGGAGGAACCAAGATATAACAGCCTAAAAACAGTGTGTTAGATCAACAGAAGCTTAAAATGAGAACACAGGAGAATACATTTGCTATTGATGTATTTTATTTGTTTTATGCCATCAAATATGCTAATATATAAGAATGCTAAATCTAGTTCTCTCTCATTTATTAAGCCCTTTTTAACAGAAGGCTACCACAGGGATTATGCAGTATATTTAAATAATTTTTGCGTTGTATTACTATAGGTTGAGTGATTAGAAACTGCCTGGAATGCTCAGAATTTACCAGCCAAGCTAGTGATGTGATCAAACATAAAAGACTGGTATATTAGGCTGGTGTACTTGGACAAATATTTGTGTTTCTGATTAATGTCTCAAATAAAAACGAAAGACAATCTTTCAAGTTTTAGTGTTATTGACAAGAGCCAGATGGATGGTGCATGAGGAAATTACACAAACATTTGCAAAGATTTGATGAAAACATGCAAGAATGTGTACAGATTTTCATAAAGCCAGAAACAATGCTCCAGATTCTTAGTACTTGTAGAAATGTCTCACTTGCTCAAGAAGGGCCAGATCGCAAAAACCTTACTCACAACACTAGTTGTGGTGTAAGGTATTATGCAGTGTGAGTAAGGGTAGCATAATCTATCCCATAGAATATAAATGCTGTGTGGAGACCACAGCCATTGCCTTGCTCTTGGAACAATGCATTTAAATAAAATATAACATGAAAGATATATATCCAGCAACAAACTGTTAGGATCTGGCACCTAGATTTGTTCATTCTGCCCATAGGTGAGCAATACTGCATCTCCATGTATCTATGCTGGTACGTGCTCTTCTGAAATCCAGGTACCCCATCTCCAGAGAGGAGTTGTCTTGTCTAAACCACAAAATTTCCAATAAGATTCTAGAAATAAAGTCTAATCAGGCAAGTTTGTAAATATAATTGAAAGAGACAGTGTGGTCAGTGAATAAGGCACTGGACTGAGAATCAAGATGCCTAGGTTTTATTCCTAGCTGTGTGACTGTGGGCATGTTATTTTGCTGCTCTGTGCCTCAGTTTCCCCCTCTGTAAAAAGGGCATCATGACCTCACATCCCTTTGTAAAATGCTTTGAGAGTTGCAGATGAACAGCAGTAGGGAAGAGCTAAATATTATTACATCGTCAAAGATATTCAAGATGTAAATTTCCCTTTGAAGTCAAAATGTTTGTGTGTATCAGATGATAGGAAATAAGTATTTTTCAAGGCAATCACTATTTTCCCCTCCTTACAGCACCTCTTACTGCCAACAGCACAGATTTATACTGGGTTTATTCTTTTAATGGGATGAGATCCTAACCTGATATAAATCAACAAAGAATCATTAACTTTACCAGCTGAGGATCTAGCCCATTGTATTTGCTGTTGTTGACATCACAGTACTGCCTATCTTATGCAGATGTATATTGGGAAGCTTTGCTGTGGCTTAAAGGGACTAGCCATTTATTTAAAAAGAACAAAAAAACAACTCTCTAGTAAGTCATTCCTTACTGTCATTTAGCAATTTAAGCCACAGGACAGTAATTTGAGTCACTGAAAAATTTCTAATACACTCATAACATTCATGGTTAATTGCACTATTATCATTTAGTGATTACTGCCTCTTTACCGTGTAATATGGCAGAGATGATGGGCCAAATTTACCACTGGCGTGGTGGCTGCAACTGTGCTGAAGCAAATATTGAGCCTGTTTATACCAGGGTTTTTAGCTCTGAATTACAAATAGGTTCAGTACATTTGTGCTAGACACCCAAGTGAATACTTCACACAAATTTTGTCTTCAATTAGGATACACAAACCCAATACATTCATCATATACATCAACACAAAAATATCTGAGATAACATCAGCTGGAGAGGCAGCACGGGGAATGCCTACCACTAAATTCTGAACTTGACTGAATATTGCAAATTTAAAATTGAGTTATGCTACTAGGCCATTTGATTTTTAAGCTCCCTTGATCATAAAGTGGAGCCTGGCTCCTTTTGAAAATGTACAGCGTCATTGGAGTGCTATAATCATATCGTCTTCACACACTGGTGCACCTGAAATTCAATGTTAGAAATGTAATACAGCAGGATATTCAGACCCCACACCATTCTGCTGGAAATATGTGATGCGGGGAAGCTTGTGCAGATCCATTTCTCCTTGCTTGCTTGTTCACTGAGCACTGGAAAGTTAGAGTCTGTAAGAAGAGCTATGTTGGACCGAGTGGTAAGCCAGCTAGCATCAGACTGGGAAGATCTGCCTGGAAATCTTGCACCTTTGCTTGCATAGCCTGTTGCTCTGCCTGGACCTCTTGCTTGGTCCGTTCAATAGAGACTCCTCTTTAAATCCACATAAGGGCTGCAATTAACTCTCCTCTACACCCTTTTGAGGAGTGTCTGTTTACTGTTAAATTTAACACACAGCATCCAGTGAGAACACATATCTAGATCCAGAGATCACGTTCCCAAGCAGAACACTGAGTTTCTGAAACCGCAGTATGGGCCATATAAATGCCAACTCATGACTTTAATGCCATTTCAATTTACCATTACCCTAAATCCAGCAGCACTGACAAACTGAGGATAATACTGATCTCAAAGAAACTGTTAGCCTCTCTAGTATTGAATCAAAGAGAACCCTTGCAGTATAAATGAGGATATATACCTGGGGTTGGCAACCTTTCAGAAGTGGTGTGCCGAGTCCTCATTTATTCACTCTGATTTAAGGTTTTGCATGCCAGTAATACATTTTAACATTTTTAGAAGGTCTCTTTAAGTCTATCATATATAATTAAACTATTGTTGTATGTAAGGTAAATAAGGTCTTTAAAATGTTTAAGAAGCTTCATTTAAAATTAAATTAAAATGCAGAGCCGCCCGGACCAGTGGCCAGGACCCGGGCAGTGTGAGTGCCACTGAAAATCAGCTTGCGTGCCACCTTTGGCACGCGTGCCATAGGTTGCCTACCCCTGATATATACATCCTTGACACCCTGCGCAATTCAAGGATAGTCCATTATTTTTTGTCAAGATCCAAATTTCTTGGTAAAGGTCCAGACTCCAGGAAAAAAAAAAAAGTAAATAAAAAGATTTTGGGGTCTGTTCGAAAGCGGATTTGGCCCGCAGTCCGCCTATTAACTACCCGGATGTACATTGTAAAACACAAAGCAACAGCCTTTCAGGTGAAGGTTCATTGGAATTGTGTATAACTTAGAATTGGATGAACATTTAGAAGAAAATTTCAGCAGTAACACCAAGAGTCAGCAGGAATCTTGATAAAGTTTATCCTTATGTACAGAATTAATATTCCCACAGGCACCAGAAGAAAGGTCCTCTCATCCTCTGGACTGTATTTGCGCTATCTGCAAATATTATCAGCAAATTGGGCACCTGTACTGCAGTTCCTTCCTACCTGCTGAACTTTTGTAGCTTGTGTCCTTCCTCCTTAACTGTCAGAAGTGTTAAATGGGTTTGTGAAGATAAACATTTCATCTGTTTCTTTTTTCCATATCAAAGTGAGATGCTAACTGAGATTCTCCATCAGTAAAGACTCTATGATATTAGTTTACATAAGCTCTGAAAGGTCACAGAGCTACACAAGAGTTTGGAATCATCCAAAATTCATCAGATACTCTTTTTTTTATAGTGTAGGAAGCAGAATAAGCCTAGAGACTTCTCTGCCTCCCCTTAGTTCTGTGTTGGACTGCTTCCCACTTTTAAGTCAGTGGCAATCCGAGATAACCGGTGCTGAAGTTTGTCTCAAATTATAAACAGGTATTTAGGAAAAATGCTCCTGAAAGACCAGTATCTTTACAAATGACAGAATATTTATTACCAATACCTTTAAAAAAAGATTACATCTGCTAGATCACCGATAAATATCATTTACACCGGGGAGAAAACTACATAGGCTTTTTTTTTTTGTTTCATTTTCTTGTTTTTGTGGTTTTTTTTGTTTTTGTGTTTACATAGAAGTAACCATATCAAACTAAGAAAGGAACACAGCTTGAAATATTGACAATATTTCTCTGGTTAACACCCCTGACTTTTACACAAGTGGAATCCCAATTATGAGTTACTGAATAAATATATTGAGAAGGTTTAAAAGTTAACTTGTAGTATTTTGTAAGCAAAAAAGACAAGTTACAGGCAAATTTAAGCTATCAGGAAAAAAATAAAGCACTGCAGCGCATTTAAACTTGAAAATTTTTATAGAAAATTCCATTGCCTTTTTACCAGCATTGATCCATCTGAGTGGACTTACAAAATGATCCCATAGTAACAAACAGTCCTTTTCTCAAGAAGAGTTATTTTTCTGTTGATATTGTCATTTTCCAATATGATTATATTAAAACTTCATATTTGTATGAAGAGTTTGTAAAGAAACAAAGACTTCCTAGCACAGAACTATTGAGGGACCATACACACAAAGATACTTTGCAAATTAATATGAAAAATGTACTTTAGAGAGTTATTCACTAGAAACATGATACAGCTGTCAGATTCAGTTTATGACCGACACTCAAAAGAGATTATATAAGAAAACATAACTTTGTGATTAAATTATGAAGATTTATGAATTACATTTAAAATGTACACTGAAAAGAAATACATATTCAGACAGTGGAACCCAGAATTAGTTTTAAATCTTAAAGACATGCATATTATGATTATAATTTCCTTGATGTAAATCCAGAGTAAAATAATTGATTTAAACTGGCATTACTTTGGATTTACACCAAGGTAAAAGCTCAGAATCTGGTCCTTCTTTTGCTGCAGTAACTTTTGGTCTATGTTACTATAGGAAGAGATTACTATGTAATATCAACTTTAATGTTCAATTTAATGTTAATTATGATCAAGACAAAGCTACTTAAATACAATAAAATGAAAGCTTAATATATGATGTTAAAGTATTGGCTAGGAACAAAAATCTGTATACTTATTTTTGAAGACTGTAGCTGTTCTTGAAGATTATCTCAGGTTTATCTTGTACACTCATCTGATCCAAAATGAAAAAATATCTTAAGCACTTGATTTTACTTAGGAACCATCATAACTGTCATTTAAATACAGCTGCCTTGAGTTACGAACCAAGTCCTAAACAGTTCTCCCAATGTGTACCCTTGCAAAACTGTACAATCAATTTGTAACCAATTTACTGAGAACAACTTTGAACTCTCAGTTTTAAAGGAAAAAATTCCAAACAATATTTTTTATGATAGTGTTATCTGTAGCATTTTATAGCAGAGGAAAAATTAATATCTACATCATATGTTAACTTTAAAAAATTCTATAAAACACTAAATATATAATAAAAAATATGCATATAAGGACATATGTAAACTGCTTTGGTAACATCATATTACAGATGTTTTCAGTGCATTGCAGAGTTTCCAAGGAAACTTCAAACAAAGCTATATTTGCTTTGAGGAAGTACTGTATAATGCCATTCCTAAAGAAGCATAAAACATTTTTTTTCCAGTAGTAAGATGTACTTGAACAACAATATTACTTAGTACTGGGTGTCTTCAAAACAACTAGCTAAATGTTGCTTATATTATAAACAGGAAGTCCTTTATGTAATTTTTGTCATAAACTTGATCTAGCTGTGAGAGATATCATTATTGTGCTGATGGCTGACAACGTACACGCATTTGAAGTAGAAGTACCAGATCCTCTCGCATATGCATCTGAGAAAAGGAGAGAGAAAAGAAAGTAAGGAGAGCAGGATTCAGCCCACAGCCATTAAATCCTGTCATGATGAGTCCAAAATGCATTCGACAGCAAAATGGGTAACACCACAAATGGGTAACAAACAAACGAGGAGGTGGTCACCTCCGCAGGTCCAGAGTTCAAAGTAAGTTTGGCTACAGACCCAAGAGTTCAGATGTTCCTGCAAAGTTTAGCCAAACTGTACATTTGCAAATTGGAATCTTACTACAACAGCCTTCTGATGGGATATCATAAGTACAGGCACAGGGTTGGTCAAACTCCCAAAGAAATCAATCCACTTTAGCCAAGCATATTGAATGCCCAAAATTTGTAAATCTCACAGTCCCAGTCTGAGGAACACAGGGGGAAGAGGGGATGGAATTTCTCTTTCTTGGACCTAATCAACCTCTTCTCCCCTTCTAGATTCTGTTTATTTAGTGGGACCTACTACTTTCATTAGCCATTCTGCATTATGGTTTGTACTTGAATTTCCCCAGTCATTTGTATTCAAGGGTACATTCAAAATTCTATGGCTTTAGGGAATATCTCTCTTTAGAATAGAACAAAGTTCAAGTTACCAAACACCATACCAACATGGCATGATGAACCAGATCCTCATGTAGCTAGCTGATTTATACCAGCTTGGAATCTGGTCTGATAGATTTTGTGACTCCATTTTAGATCACAGAAAAATAGCGTATGTGTTACTGGCTTTTGATCTTATGATTTTCTGTGACTGACGCTTAGATTCCTGACTTGTTTGTATAAGCAACAGGGCCGGCTCCAGGCACCAGCTTACCAAGCAGGTGCTTGGGGTGGGCACTTTGGAGAGGGGCAGCACGTCCAGCTGTTCGGCGGCAATTCGGGATGGTCCCTCACTCCTGCTCGGAGCGAAGGACCTTCCGCTGAATTGCCGCCGCAGATCGCGATCGCGGCTTTTTTGTTTGTTTGTTTGTTTGGCTGCTTGGGGTGGCCAAAACCCTGGAGCCGGCCCTGATAAGCAAGGTACATATCTACATAGATAAGATCAGAATCATAGCCTATTACCTTTGACACTGCTGTAACTCTACTGACTGCAGTGGAGTTACTCTGTAAGTAAGGGCAAAACCAGGCCCTTACAATGGATTAGTGTGAATGTAGCATCCAGAACTCTGAGAAATATGAAAGATTCCCAGTAAAACCACCAATCTGGATTTAAATCCAAACCTAGTCAAACACTGCAAGCAAAAGTGACACAGTCTTAAAAATTCCCTTCAGAACATCCATAAACACCCTCCCCTCTGACAAATTTATGCCAGGGTCAGGCTTGAAGAACCTGCAAAAACAGTCAGCCTAGCATCACTTCCCTAAACTTTCAGCTCTGTCTTGCCCTATCAGCTCTGATCCTGCTTGGAGAATTTCAGCCATCTCAGGTGGACCGGGGCTTTCCCCCTGACTTTCCCATGGTATATGTCAAATCCTGCCACCCTATTTCAGTGGGAGTTTTGACTGAGTTATGATGGCAGGATTTGGCCCATGGCCATAAACTCCCCCACCCACCTGAGTAAATCAGTTTGCCAGCTGTAGCATCACTCATGGAAATCACTTGGGAAGGTGGAACACAGACATTTTATAAGACCAGTGCATTGTAATAACTACTCCTGTCTCTACTGAAAATGAAAATATCAACTTCTACATGGAGATAAAGCCCCATTTCCCTAAATAAGTATATATGCACACAGCATAGAGTGAAGTACTGATATAACGCGACAGTATAAATTAATAAGTTGTTGCACTTCATACTGGACACTTTCTGATCACAAATTGCAGTGAAACAACAGATTCAATATATATATATATACACCTCTACCCCGATATAACACGACCCGATATAACACGAATTTGGATATAATGCGGTAAAGCAGTGCTCCGGGGGGGGCAAGGCTGCAGACTCAGGCGGATCAAAGCAAGTTCAATATAACGCGGTAAGATTTTTTGGCTCCCGAGGACAGCGTTATATCGGTGTAGAGGTGTATTGAAGAGACTATCAAGACCTGTAATAACAAATGAAAAAAAACCTGAGAGTGTCAGTCTAGAAACGCTCAGTAAAATATAACCCTTTTTACTATGCTGTTGCATATCTTTATTCTTGAGTAGGGGTCAAACCAAAACCTTGGGTTTGAATGCCCACAAATTCTGGGAAAGTTCAGGTTTGAATATGAGTGCTGTAGCTCAGTCTCGTCTCCGGTTTATTGTTTCTCAGCATACCTATCTGCGTACATGCGGAATTGGGCAAATTTGAAGCCTGCCTTCATTATGACTGAACGCTTGCACAAAACCTTTCTTTAGGGCTGCAGCTGATATTCTGCATATGCAAAGTGGGCCACGGTGCCCCCAACAGCTCAATTTTAGTGTGCAAAAAAATGGGATGCCATCTGAAAATGTTGGCCCTTGATCCATTAAGAATCCATGCGCCATGGGCTGGAAACACAAGCGCAATGACAACATTCTTACTTGATATCTTTGGAATTCGGATTTGTTCGCTGCTGCTACCATCGCCTCCATCACTAAATGGCTTTATTTCTATGATGTAATCTTCATCAAAAGGCAAAGAAAGCTCGACAGATGTTTTATTAGTTTCGATTACAGATGTGCTACTCTGTCTGTTCCATCTGTATAAAACCTGCAAAACATTGGAGTGGAGAATGGGTGGGGGAGAGAAAAGAGAACTGATCATCTCCATAACAACCTGAAGATTTACTATTGATCTTTTCCTTCCTAGAGCACAGAATTGTCTCTATTATCAGAAGCACGGCAGATTTCACAGATGTGTTGATCTGAACCTGATGGGTGCTTTAGGAAGCCACGTTTGTGAATTCTTCACTTTGTGCTGATGTGAAGCCACTGGGCACTGAGGGCTAACTATGGAGGGAGCTTGCAGAACGCGGCTCTTGTTGGAATTCTGATGGGTAGCCCTGTCATAAAGCCACATGACACTCAGCAGAGGCCCTTGTCACTGGCAGAGCACCTCTGCCTCTCAGCTTGATTAAACTTCATTTTCCCATCAGCTGGAGCAATTTCAGAAGCTCTCCAGCACAGCCAGCTTTAGCCAGGCGGGTGTGCTTCAAAAGGGCAATCTAATTTATGGGTCAGCCATCAGCAATCGTTCTGAACAGGTGCTGCTGCTGGGCTCTTTAGTCACTAGGTTGTTGGGAGTAGCAGGGAAGAGCACTTCTACTGGAAAATAAAAAACAAAAGCGATTCTGCTGTGGCTTGTGATCAGATGAGCCGGGCATAAATCACCCTTCCATTCAAAGAGCTAACCAGGCACATATAAACTTTATTCAGAATCACTGAGTTCCTCTGCAAATACTTCCCTCCCCCTCCTCTAAAGTAGCATGAGATCACCTTAATTTATACTTGTTAAATGCAAGGAGCTGAATATGATTTTCCTTAAATTAGCAAGATCCCTAAGCCTCCTTTCTCAGTTCTGGGCACCAGAGCCATCCAATTCAGTATCACCTTAGTCCTTACTAAGGATCAAACTAAAATAAATCCTGTGGCTTATTTAGAGATGTCATAACATCTTATTATAGTGCTTTAGAAAACTGGACTGGCGTATTTGATGTAGTGTCACAAGCAGCTTCACAGAATAAATTGCTTCTTTGATTTACCTTCTTTCTTTTCCTAAGATCTGGAAATTCAACTTATTTAGAATATAAACCCTGCCACAAAATAGCATATTTCCAGAAAAAAAATAAGTGGTTTTGCTCTCTGCATATAAATGCAATGATGTGGCTGTACAACTGTAACACAAAAGAAAAAGAGGAGCTACAAAAAAGACACACTACTGGATGAGACGGCTTTGGAAAGGTCACGAGGGCCTCTCTTCCACCATTTCAGGCTGACTTTTGGTTGAATTTTGAACTCAAAAACATAACCTGAAGCTTGGCCAAAATTGCTGAGATTTGCCTGCGTTTGGATGGAAACAAGTTTTGACCATACAAAAACGTGGTCTAGATTTGGTCAAATATCAGCACAGACATGCACGAAACTTGGCCTAGGTTCATGAATGTAAATGAATCTGGCTTGAGTTTCATGTTCCTAACAAAACCTGAAACTTCGTAAAATTTTCCGTGGTTTCAGGTTCCATTGCAAAAGGTTTGCAGAGCTTGAAACTCAATGTAACTTGCTGGCAAAATTGCCATCACTGCTTTCCTCAGGCCAAAGTAAGGTCTTGTGTAGCATGGCATAGTTCTAGGACTGAATTCTACCCAAGATTTTTCTCTTTATAATTTATACCCTACCAAGATTGCTACTAACTGGGACTTCACACCCTCCTTCCTTCTGCTTTATGAACAAAGCTGAACCATCAAGCAAGGACTTTAACTTGTCTGCTGCAATTAGTGGGCATATTTCAGCCACTGGTGAGCCCCAGGGAGCAAGTCTGTCAAGGGCAGGGGTACAGTGGTGCAAGCTGCCCCCAACCCCTGATTGGCTGAGCGTGTCGGCTCTGGCCAGTACAGCCCAGAAAATTCACCACTTCTGCCAGAGGAGCTCCCATAGAGCCTTGGCTAGAGTTTAAATCTCTTTCCTTCTGGCACAGATAGGAATCTCTGGAGGTGAATGCCCTTTACTAATTATAGAACAAGCCCACTACGTGTTGATTTTGTATCTATTTCTGAATGTCCCTACATAGTTACAATGGGCTATGTAACTGTGTACAGCATTGTTCCTGCTTGGGTCAGGAGAGCTATGCAAACAACACAAAAGTCTCTTGGGTAGGGTGATCATAGTTCCCAAAAAGGAAAAATGGACACTGCCTGGGGCTAGCCCAAAGTGCCCTCCCTCTCCCCATGGGGCTGGCCCGAGCCCTGCCCTCCATCTCTGTGTGGGGCTGGCATCAGCCGCTGGCCCAACCCCCCACCCCCTCTGCATAGGGTCGGGCCCCGAGCCGCCAACCCGTGCTGCTCACCCCTCAGCCTGTGCTGTTGATCCCCCCCGAGCCCCTCACCCCCCTCCTGGCTCACGTGGCCAGCCTGCACTGCTCGCTCCCCTCAGCCCGTGCTGCTCATCCTCCTTGGCCCCTGCCACTCACCTGAGCCATTTCCCCCCTCCCCGCCCGTGTGGGGCTGGCCTGGCCGGAACCGCTCACCCAAGTCATCCAGGGATGTTCCTCCATGCCCCGCTAGGGGTCGCACCCACTTTTTTGGCTCCTTTGCTCTTGCCAACTGATGATCAGGACAGGGCTTAAAAAAGGGACTGTTCCGGCCAAACCAGGCCGTATGTTCACCCTCCTCTTGAGTTTTATTCCAAACTCTAAACTCAGCTTCATGGATTCATGGACAGGTTCACTTTAACCAAAACTCAATGTGAAAATCCCAGGGGAGTTGAATCATCACAGGCCTACTGTCAAGAGACAGTTAATACAGATAAATAACCAGTCCTATGTGCCCATGCTAAGAAGTTACCCACTTTGTATCCTTTCACTTCTGATTCATTATCCAGTGCTTTAACTTGATCCCAGTTCAGTATAATCTTGGAGTCAGATGAATTCCATATGATGTTTCCAGGAGGTTGACTCGGTGCTATATTAAAATATACAAAGTATTATATGGTTAAGTAGCAATGTTTTCTAGCTTAATCCATCTAAATACTTATATGGCTTCCATCACCATAGTAGCTGAACATCCACAGAATCCTACTGCTCTGGTAAGTTAATGAGCTGTTGCACCGAGGTCTGTGTTCTAGGTCAGAGCAGGTCTTAGGCCTGGTCTACACTGGGAGGGGGAATCGATCTAAGTTACGCAACTTCAGCTACGTGAATAACTTAGCTGAAGTCGACGTACTTAGATCGACTTACTGCGGTGTCTTCACTACAGTGAGTCGACTGCTGCCGCTCCCCCGTCGACACTGCCTGCACCTCTCGCTGAGCTGGAGTACAAGAGTCGACGGGAGAGCCCTCAGGGATCGATTTATTGTGTCTAGACTAGACGCGATAAATCGATCCCCGCTGGATCAATCGCTGCCTGCCGATCCGGCCGGTAGTGAAGACATACCCTTACACAACACAGTGGTATAAATGAAAAGGGACTCTGTTGCTTACTTGCGGTGAGTATGAGCAGAAGAGATAGCTACCTTGAATGATGATATGAATGTTTAACTTTTCTGCACAGTAATGATTTCAGAAGCGTTTAAAAAAACCCAACCCACCACAACAACCCCACAAAGCTCTTGCAGGAAGAACATAGCTACAGAAAAAAAAAAACCTCACAGCATCTTCAAATTAGAGAGAGACCTGGAAAATGCCAACAAGGAAAGTGCTTGTTGGGATCCCAGTGTTAGACCATGATCTATCACAATGAATACTCACGTGGCTTTTTGGTAGTGACATTGACTGTAGCACTGGAGGGTCCTGTCCCTGCGGTGTTGTATGCCTTGACGGCTAAATGATATAATGCATTGCCTTTCAGATTAGTGATTTTTGTAGATGTTCGATTACCAATAGTCCTGATTTTTCTAGCATTTTCTTCCTTATCTTCGTGTCTCCAACATCTAACCTGAAAAAACAGAATATGTACATTTACCTACTTAACTCAGTGTAATTGAGCCTATCCGTGTCTTAATTCTCCATAGATATGGTACTGCAGTAAGTGAAATCCTGAGATTAATAATGTAAAATTTATCTCTATGGATAACATGCCCTTAACTACTGTCAAATGGAAAAGGGCCATTCACCATCCTGGAAGTGAGAATCGTATTAAGACAGTGTTCCAGCTCCACTCTGTAAATCTTTCCATTCTCTCCATCTTAGAGAAGACCACAACTGGAAATGTTCATAAACCCAGAGGTCAATGCTTCTGACCTTCAGTGGACTCTGAGCTGGAGAAAATGAAAAAATTTATAGATCTCAATTTTCCACTGAACAGCACTTACTGCGGGTTACTATGGTCTCCACAAGGCCCTAGAGAAGGCAGATTCCTCCCCCCTCCCCCAACAGACTGCTACCCATTTTCACCATGGATTACATATATATTTTCCTTTGTACCTTAAAAAGAGACATTCCAGTGTACAACGGGGAAAAACAGTGAGCAAGCACTGCTTTACGTCATCATCAGCCAGCAGATGCATGTGTAAGAAGCAGTGTTTAGGTGACCTTCAATTATATATTGCTATGATCAGTATTAAGTCTGCTCCAGCCTGATATCACATTTTATTCTCATACCTCATAACCCTGTATCCTTCCTTTACTCTGATTCTCACGTGGAGAGGCCCAATAAACTTCAATGTCCGAAGCAGAAAGGCTTTTGGCAAAGACGCTGGTTGGAGCTCTGGTGGGTTCTATATGTATAGTTTGGGGGGGAAAAAAAGGTCTCAGTGTAGGTTCTATGCTTAACTTTGCTACAAACTTCAGGGTTTACTCCTCTCACTAGAAGAGAGTGGGGCTGGGTAGCCAAAAAGAATGTTTCAAATTCAAAATGGTGACCCGTCAGGGCTAGGCAGGATTTCATTATGCCAATGTGTAATAATTAATCAGATGTCATTGGGGGCACTTAAACCAGCACACTATGTATTGGTATTAGGACAAGAGAAACATTTTCTAATCAGTGGACATTAATTCCTGTTAAATCTCAGTTGAATTCTTTCAAGATTACATATTACGTTCCCATTAATATCAAAAGATTTCACTGTGATTCATGTTATTTTAATGACGATCAAAAGAATTAGTTGTGACTCACCATTTATAATAAATCAGAGCAAGGATTAGATATCAACGGATGTGTCCACGTGGGATACTAAACCCTTTCAAAAACAGTTAGCAGCATGCCTCATGCATCGGATTTCAAGACAATGCAAAGGAAGGAAGTGCAGTGCGCAGCCTACTGTACCTTCTTCTGCAGAATATACAACTGTCACAGGGCTAAAAGAACCTTCCCCTTTATTGTTGTACACGCCCACTTTAACTTCATAGGGCGTGAATGGCGGCAAGCTCTCATTTCGAAACACGTATCTGGAGGCATCAGAAGAAGCTACTACAGTCTGCATCCAGCTCACTGTGCCCAAGGGTCGGAATGCCACCACGTAGCCAAAGCCACCTCCGTTCTGTAATTCTTCAGGCACTGTCTATAAGGAGGGCAGATCATACACAGAATAATCAGTAGTGTCAGGTATTGCCTGGTTTTATTTCTCCTTCTCGCAGGCTTTCCATTCTCAGTTTGCTCCCTTTAAGAAACCCCCTCATAAATGGCACCATTCAAAACAGGAAACAACAGTGGTTCTACAGTAGGAGCAGCTAATAATGAGGCCAGAGCATCTAATTGCCAAATATCTGCAAGGCAGCTCCTCAAATTCATATAGAAATTCCTGTATAAAACATTCTGAGCCACATCATACCTGCAGACACAACTGTCTACCCAGGGCCGGTGCAAGGATATTTTGCGCCCTAGGCGAAACTTCCACCTTGCGCACTCCCCCCCCCCCCCAACATCGGTTCATTGAGGGGCAAATCCCAACGAGCCTTTATAGACCCCAGGGGCCAGCCGTGCCCAGGGGCTGCTCCCCAGACCAGGTTCCCCCCTCTCTGCCCCCTGAACTGCCCTGGAGGATGCACAGCCCCCCCGCGAGCCCCTCCCCTCCCCACCCAACCCCGGCGGCCCCCGCCCCAAGTCCACTCACTAGCTTTGCCGGGCTTGGGCCGCTGCAGCAGCTCGGCAGGGAGGAGCTGACTTCTGAGGGCTCCTGCAGCAGATGTATGTGGGCAGAGGCCACCGTGCACCCCTCCAGCTCCCCCCTCACTGCGCTCGGGCTCTGCGGCTCCCGGGAGTGTGAGCCGCCGCCGCCCCCCCCCCCCCGGAGCAGTCTCAGGGCCCCGCGCCCCGGCGGCGGCTCACATGCCCGGGAGCCGCAGAGCCTGAGCGCGGCGGGGGGGAACTGGGGGGCGTACAGGGGCCTCTGCCCGCATGCATCTGCTGCAGTCTGCAGGGGCCCCCCGGTGGGGCGCCAGGCCGCAGTCTGGGCAGGAAGGGTGGGGGGGCGCGGCTGCTCCCTGCTAGCAGCGCCACAGCCTTTGCAGGGCTCCTGCCCCCCTGCGCTGCGCCGCGCCGGCTCCTCCATGGCTGGGGCTCATCACCCCCTGCAAGTTTAATGCAATATTATTAAACTGGGGCCCCTATGCCCGACGGCAGCCTGAGCTTGCAGCCCGGTGGGGGTGGGAGTGGAGGGACAAGGCAGAAAGAACAACAAGATGTCCGGCCCGCCTCATGGTGGCGCAGAGTCACAGTTCCCTGCAGAGACCCCTGTACCCTCTCCCTCACGCAGAATGGACATGCAGAAGGTACCTAATTAAAAGCACTAAACTTGGGAATAAAAAATGTCAGTCACAGGTTTTTTGATATGCCCTGAAGTTTGTCAGACATTTATTTGCAAAAACTTTGTAGTAAGGGTGAGTCAGCTGTCTTGCTGAATACAACAGTAAATATTATGGAATCCATGATGCAGCTCTTCTCTGTTTTACATTTTCTTAATCAGTATTTCTAAGCTGATTTTATATTTTAAATGTACTCTTAAACCTTCATAAAGTCATCATTCCAGATTACTACATATTTAACTCACTGAAACAGACATTATTTTAAATTAATCAGTCACAGAGGTTTAGTGTGTTCATAACAATGTTCATTGCTTTTAGAAAAAGGGAACATTAATTTACTGTGTGTGATCTCCATAATAATACACATGTTTATGAAATTTCACCAACTTTAAAAAATATGTTTCCAAAGATTTTAGGCATAACAAAGGATTTTATATCTTACTAAGGTACTGATTTTGCTTAAAACTAGTTCATCAGATAGTCAGAAGTAAAGAAAGGGAAACTCTGTCCAGCTATCTGGAAGCAAAGGGCTGTTGCTTCCTTCAATGGGGGTGGGAGGGGGGAGAGGGGGTGAAGGGAGAAATGGATGGACAGAAAGGACAGGAAGACTTTGGAAGTAAGTTTTTTTTACTATAGTAATTAAAATGTGTATTTTAGATAAGGGTGGTCTATTGAAAAATTTATTTAAAAAACCATATGTCTGAAGATCCAAGCATTTAAGGCTAAAGATGATTGAGCATCTAAAAATCTATACAAGGATTTTTTAGAGATGTGATTTTATAATCTTCACCAACTCACTAATGAAATATTTTTAAAGCAAATTTTAAACTAAGGTCCTGTAGACTGACATGTTCTGAGTAAATATTACAGTCATGCACAACTGTTTTTGTCAGTACATTCAGAAACTGACAGTAGATACCTGGGGGTTGGCAAATGCCTGTTTAAGTGTCTTCATTACCCCTTGAATGGCTCTTTAACAGTTTCAGTGTTGTGCTAATAGGTCTGGCAGGCTGGAGACTGTTTCTCTTTTAACTACTAGATCCCCTTCCCAGGAAGACTCAGAGCCTGCAGGAAGGGTCAGAACAGGGATAGGAAAACCAGTAGGGTGGACACTAAGACCCAGTGGTGCCCCAAATTTTCAGGTGCCCTACCCAGCTGCCTATGCCTGAGGACGGCCCCGGGCGCCCCCAACCACTTGCCGCCCTAGGCCACTGCTTAGTTCGCCTAGTGGTTGCACTGGCCCTGTGTCTACCTCTCTTAGGACTGGCTACAGCCCTGTGATAGCACCTATCTCTGTAGCATATCCAAGGTAAATTAAATCCGCAGAACAGCTCCCATTTGTTTTCAGTGAGTTTCTCATCTGCATCTCTAAGTTAACATGTGGCTCCATCGTTTATATAAACTGACATCAACCATGTGTATTTACTATTCAGCTCTTTGACTTTCTAACCATCAAAGGCATTAGCTTGTGTACTCCTCTGGCTACTCTGTGTGCAGTTTCCAAATTCCTGGTCGTGGTAAGTAGCTTGTTTTCAGGCAAAGAGCATAAAGTGAAGTATACTAACAGCTGTAAGATAGCAGTGAGTGACATGTCATAAAAGTCATGGCAGGCAAATGATGTATCACATCTAGAAGAAGAGATTTGTCCCCTTCAGGTCACTTTTGTACATGCTGCCATTGCCTAGCTTCATATTTTTAACCTTAGAAAAGGAACATCAGCAGTAAAAGCCCCAAGTCAGTAAAAGGATCCCTATACAGGATAGTACTCAATTATTGTACTTTAGTCTCACTAAAGTTAACGGATCTTAAGTGTGTGCTTTTTCTGAATATCAGAGTAAAAAAAAAAGTTACTTTAAATGAATGTTCCATAATCAGTGTTATATGGATTTTTTAAAAAAGAAAAGAAAATGACTGTGTGCTGATCATTTTAGAGGAGCCTAAACTAAGATACTTGCAAAGCATGATTCAAAGTCATGGATGATGTTTTTGACATCTCTCTAATACTTAAAAAAAAAAAAAGTATACTGAGTGTCTTTAAGGGATTCAGTGAAACTAATTAGTCCAAGGGAGGATAAGGTTCAACACGTTGAGCCATGTAGTGAGGATAAAAACACATTTGCAGATTTTTAAAAATCTTAAAAAATACCTCTGGTGACTCACAGCTGCCAGGGTGCTCAAAAGAAGTGCTGAGCGTGGGCAGTATCAAATCTAGTGACGTTAATGGCTAGTTTAACTCACTCCATCGTACCACAATATGAAAATAAGAGCAGTCAAAACAACGAATGTTTCACCCTCAATTGCCTTCAAGAATTTTTCATCTGTGTTTTCTTCTTCTCTCGGCTTTGTGATAGACTGAAATCAGCTGGTATTGCAAGTTCTATATGATGCACTATCATTAGAGCCACCTTCAGCCTGGCGCTAATCACCTACAACTCACCACCTCTCAGGATTTGGCCTCTTGAAACTTATTTTATACACCAAGGTTAATCCTCTGTGCAGTGGCTGGCCTGAGTAACCAGATCAGATGATGGGCAGGTATGTAGAGGACCAAGAGTGGAGGAATCCTGCCTCCTGACCCCAGGCCATGGAGCTGCTTCCTGGGGTGGAGGACAAAAGGATCCTTTCTCTCTCTCTCTACCCTCTAGCTCAGCCCATCCGTGTTCTGCCATTGTCCGTGCTCATGTGCAGGGGTCATCGTGGAGCTGAGCTCACTGCCACACAGTAGTGCACACATCCTGCACCGCCCACTCACAGCCAGCTCCACCCGCCTTGCACAACAAATATGCATTAGTTCCATTGCTTGGAGAGCTTCCATGGGCATGGAAGAACAGGCTGGATTTTAGTCCAATTGAATCGAAGGCAGGAACCTTTTCAATAAATGTGGTCTTGTGCTCACATACACAGGTGTAAGTCAGCAGTATCTCCACTGGAGAATGGAAATACAATGGGATAGAATCGGCGTGAGCAGATCAGCATCATGTGCTGCACACTACATAAGAGTGAGCAGATCAGCAGCATGTACTGCACACTACATAAGAGTGGTCCTACTGGGTCAGACCAAGGGTCCATCTAGCCCAGTATCCTGTCTTCTGACACTGGCCAATGCCAGGTGCCCCAGAGGGAATGAACAGAACAGATAATCATCAAGTGATCCATCCCCTGTCGCTCATTCCCAGCTTCTGGCAAACAGAGGCTAGGGACGCCATTCCTGCCCATCCTGGCTAATAGCCATTGATGGACCTATCCTCCATGAATTTATCTATTTCTTTTTTGAACCCTGTTATGGTCTTGGCCTTCACAACTTCCTCTGGCAAGTAGTTCCACAGGTTGACTGTGCGTTGTGTGAAGAAATACTTCCTTTTATTTGTTTTAAACCTGCTGCCTATTAATTTCATTTGGTGACCCCTAGTTCTTGTGTTATGAGAAGTAGTAAACAACACTTTCTTATCTAGAAGTGTTTCTCTACACCAGTCATGATTTTATAGACCTCAATCATATCTCCCCTTAGCCATCTCTTTTCCAAGCTGAAAAGTCCCAGTCTTATTAATCTCTCCTCATACGGAAGCCATTCCATACCCCTAATAATTTTTGTTGCCCTTTTCTGAACCTTTTCCAATTCCAATATATCTTTTTTGAGATGGGGCGACCACATCTGCACACAGGATTCAGGATGTGGGCATACCATGGATTTATATAACGGCAACATGATATTTTCTGTCCTATTATCTATCCCTATCTTAATTATTCCCAACGTTCTGTTTGCTTTTTTGACTGCTGCTGCACATTGCGTAGATGTTTTCAGAGAACTATCCACAATGACTCCAAGATCTCTTTCTTGAGTGGTAACAGCTAATTTAGTCCCCATCATTTTATATGTATAATTGGTATTATGTTTTCGAATGTGTATTACTTTGCATTTATCAACATTAAACTTCATCTGTAGCTCTTTGCAGTCTGCCTGGGGCCTGGGTTTTAATGATCTTTAGTAATTTTGTATCATCTGCAAATTTTGCCACCTCACTGTTTACCCCTTTTTCCAGATCATTTATGAACATGTTGAATAGGACTGGTCCCAGAACAGACCCCTGGGGGACACCAATATTTACCTCTCTACATTCTGAAAACTGACCATTTATACCTATCGTTTGTTTCCTATCTTTCAACCAGATACCAATCCATGAGAGCACCTTCCCTCTTATCCCGTGGCAGCTTACTTTGCATAAGAGCCTTTGGTGAGGGACCTTGTCAAAGGCTTTCTTAAAATCTAAGTACACTATATACACTGCATCCCCTTGGTCCACATGCTTGTTGACCCCCTCAAAGAATTCTAGTAGATTGGTGAGGCATGATTTCCCTTTACTAAAACCATGTTGACTCTTCCTCAACAAATTATGTTCATCTATATGTCTGATAATATTGTTCTTAATTATAGTTTCAACCAGTTTGCTTCGTACTGAAGTCAGGCTTACAGGCCTGTAATTGCCAGGATCACCTTTGGAGCCCTTTTTAAAAATTGGCGTCACATTAGCTATCCTCCAGTCACCTGGTACAGAAGCTGATTTAAATGACAGGTTACAGACTACAGTTAGTAGTTCTGCAATTTCACATTTGCGTTCCTTCAGAACTCTTGGGTGAATACCATCTGGTCCTGCTGACTTATTGCTGTTTAATTTATCAATTTGTTCCAAAACCTCCTCTAATGATACCTCAATGTGGGACAGTTCCTCAGATGTGTCACCTAAAAAGAATGGTTCAGGTTTGGGAATCTCCCTCACATCCTCAGCCATGAAGACCGATGCAAAGAATTCATTTAGTTTCTCCGCAATGGCCTTATCGTCCTTGAGTGCTCTTTTAGCACCTCGATCGTCCAGCCTTATAAAACAGATGCATTAATTCTCCCATTGGTTTATACTTAACTTACCTCCCAGGTAATGACCAGCTCCGACTTGCTCCCTCCACCTCCACTGACATTAGCCGGGGTGATTTCAGGAACTGTGTAAAAGAAATGTTACAGTAGGTAGCATGGAAAGCACAAGCTATTAATTTTGAAGCTAGACGTTTGATTCATTTTAAACAGAGAAAGCAAGAGGCACATGTAGCACTGGCATCTTGTGACTTTTCCCTTTTGGGACCATGAGCCTGACTATCAAAAGGAGCACAGGGAACAGACACTTCCAGTTTTTTGTCAGTCAGATGGACAAAGAGCATGTCTAGTATCCATGTATCTAGTTGCTAATTGTTTGTTTTAAATATTTATTTTCTATATAACAAGGTCCATTTATTTTCACAATATTGATTCCTGCTTTTCAATTTAGAGCCAAAATCCTGCAGTCAGTAGGGATTTTTCCTGAGTTAAGACAGAGCAAGAACTACAAGATTGGACCCATAATGAACAGTCCTAGTGATAATTGCCTGGGGTGATATCTCCAACCCTGCTCCAAGACCTTTAGGGCAGGTGAAAGGGCCAGAGCAGCATAAAGGGGCTCTGAAAGCCCCTTGGCTATAAGGCTGCCTTTTAAGGATCTCATCATACTGTACTCTACTCTCTAGAGTGTTTCCTCCGCACAAATGTGGGACAACACAGGGATTACTAGACTGGTTCACATCAGTGATCCATCGTATCTTCAGAGGAAGCTGAATTCACCTCTCCTCAAATGCCCTTTGTCAGCTGGGCTATAGAGGACATGGGGGAATTGGGGGAATTCTTCCCAGTCATGTACTTCTAGGAAAGCATGGAATAAAGCCCATCTTGGGCCTCATTTTTTCTATTAATTCTATTCTACTCTATTTGTGTGTGCTCTTTGTGAATGTTATACGATGAGGCAGAGGAGAAACTAGATAATATAACTGTCATATAGAAAATACTTCTTAACCTTGTTCCAGGTAACCTACTACTTATGGCAAGGTGCTTTTTAAAAAAGACTTTGTTGGGCTTCCTTTCTACTACTTACGAGCTTCTTCAGTTCTTCTTTTCTCTGAGGGTCTGCTTGGCTCCCCAATCCCAATGAGGTTGGCTGCAACTGCTCGGAATTCATATTCAACCCAAGGGTTTAATCCCACCACGGTTGCAGTGAATGTCTTGCCATCAATGATATCTGGAACTGAAATATACCCCCAGGTTAGGAGAGTGAGAGTTGGACATTAAGAGCAATTACACATATTCAGTCATTGAAGAACAGTAGCCTCTTGATCTATGGGCACAGTCTTGAAACGATTAAACAATGGAAGATCACCTTGAGAGCGGAACGATTAAGGACTATGAATCTGGGCCCGTAGTGTGTCTTCCCATTTTACTCTTTTGTCAATGCTTAGTATGGGGAAGCAAAGCAGGCTGTATACAAACAATATGCAGGCATCAAGGAAATCTATGCTTTAGAAATTGACTTTTCATCCTCACAGAAATACCACAGTATCCTTATAGGGTCTCATTAAAAGGTAACACAACTTAGGCCTGATCTACACACAGTTTTTGTACCATATGATTATTTTGTTTAGGTGGTTATTGGTTTAACTAATAGAGCTATACTGGTACAAGCCCTAGTGTGGATTCAGTTACACAGGTAAGAAGGTGCCTTATAGCATTATAGCTTATTTCCCTTCCCATGCAGGAATAGGTATACTGGTATAAGCATATTTATATCAGTGTAACTATGTTCTCTGTTGTATAGTTTTAACTATACGGGATTGGTTAAAAAACAGTACAACTTTCATGTGTAGAGAAGGCTTTCCATACATACTGTAGCATTCTGAACTTTTTGCTTACAACAGTTGAAACAATTTTTATAAATTGTGTCTTTCATAACAATTAGTTGAATCAAATGAACATATTTAAGAATGAGCAAATATACAGTGGAGAAAGTAATTCCGCCAAAAGAGATGGTACTCCGGATGACACTGTCTGTCACCTGAAAGATGTCTTTACAGTACCATAGTTGTTGTCATGGTTGTACATCACCAGCGTACAGGGTGACCAGATGTCCTGATTTTATAGGGACAGTACCAATTTTGGGGTCTTTTTCTTATATAGGCTCCTATTACCCCCACCTACTGTCCCGATTTTTCACACTTGCTGTCTGGTCACCCTACCAGTGTAGCAGTGTGTAATATTTGAAAGAATGGAATGAAACCTTTCCTCGAAAATACAATGCATAAAAACTGATGAGAAAAACTGGCTGAGTAATACCACAGCAAGGTTGGCAAATCATGAAAAGGATTAAGAAAGACCAAATGTATTGCTGTTAGAGCTGGAAAGGAAGTGGTTTTCCCATTCCATGAAACTTTTTGAAATTTCAGCCATTTTCCCCATTCCATCTTGAGACAAACCTGAGACCTTCTGAAGTTTTTCTGTGAAAAATGGGAGAGACCCACCTCATAATAGCCAGGTGGTCAGGGCACTCATCTAGGACGTGGGAGACCCAGGGGAGAATTCCTGATTCAGACCAGGAACTTGAACCTGTGTCTTCTACATCTCAGGTAAGTGCCCTGAGCACCAGGCTATTGGCTATCCTGGAGCAGGTGACTGGTTGCGTATGTCTGTTTCTCTCCCTCCCAGACCTGAGGAACCTTTCCTGATAAAAGTTTTATCTAAACAGGTAGGTTCCAGGAAAAAGTTTCAGTTTCACTGAATTGGCATTTTCAGACAAAAAGGATTTTGGTGAAAAATTCCCAACCAGTTGTAATCACTGTGCTGGAAGATGAGTTATTCTGGCTGCATAGCTAACTTTACTCTTTCTGTATGTGTGTGTACTGATGGATCAGTTTTTACATGTACAGAATTCTTTCATGGCCAACTTCAGTTACTATTGAGTGCTACATTTACCTGTGTTCACTGCTTGCCATCCCACAGAAAATGGGGTCCTTGCTTGAATCACATACATAGTAATGGGGCTGTGATTATCTGCTCCTGGCCTCCAGGATAACTGAGCTGTAGTGTCAGTGATTTCATCTATTGTCACGGCTTCAGGTGGGCCTGGTGGACCTGTGATAAAATACATACAAAACAGTTCAGCTCAAATAATTGAGGTGACATAATATAGCATGTGAAGGAAGGAATGTTCTAGTCTTCATTTAAGATTCAGTAACAGAACACTCAGCCTTAGAACAGAATGGCTCTGTGGTTTTTGCCTCTAGCACCTAGACCTAGGAGCAGCCCTAGCTGTTTTGCCCCCCAGGGTGAAAAATGTGCTTGGCACATACCCCCTAGCAGAGGTATGGCAAAAAAATCCCCCCCCCAAAAAACAAAAAACCCACAACAGCCAAACAACTGTCCAATCAGCAGAGCAAAACAAAGGCTGGCCAATCAGAGCAGAGCAAAAACAGCTGGCTAATCAGAGTGGAGCAAAAACAGCCTGTCAGAGGAGAGGGGAAAAGAAGCACCCAGTGGTGTGGTGGAGCCCCAAGGAAGTTGGTGCCCAGGGCTACTGCCCAGTTCGCCCAGCCCTAGAACCAGCCCTACCCAGATCTACCAGACCTTACTGGCAGACCAGCAGTGCAGCCCATGGGCAGTGTAGCCCATCTAGAAGAGAATTGCTACAGTTGAAGTAGACTTTACAGCAGAGAATTTAATTAGAAAAACAAATAAGAATGTGCTTAAGTGCTTTCTAGACAACTTAAACTCATGCTTAAATGATTTGCAGAATCAGGGCTTTAAAGCGATAGTGTATCTAGTTCAGTCACTTCACTGTAGTAATAATCCAATGCAATTAGTTTAATCCAATGCAATTTGTACAGACCTCTGTGTAAAACAGCTATTATCAGAAAGCATTCAATAGCAATGGCCTGAAAAGAATTAACCTATAGTACCAAATATCCAAAAGAAGAAACACAAAAGTTTGGTCTCCTAATTCCTAGAAGTCAGACTCTTCCTCTTTACTAACTACTGAAGTTGTAAAATCTTTGCTTGATAACCACCTGGGTTTCCTCTGGTGATAAAACAGACAACTTTCCTGAAAACTCAAACCATGATTTGGATAGGTCTAGAGCAGGGGTCGGCAACCTATGACACACATGCTGAAGGCGGCACGCGAGCTGATTTTCAGTGGCACTCACACTGCCTGGGTCCTGGCCACTGGTCCGGGGGGCTCTGCATTTTAATTTAATTTTAAATGAAGCTTCTTAAACATTTTAAAAACCTTATTTACTTTACATACAAGAATAGTTTAGTTATATATTATAGACTTATAGAAAGAGACCTTCTAAAAATGTTAAAATGTACTACTGGCACGCAAAACCTTAAATTAGAGTGAATAAATGAAGACTCGGCACACCACTTCTGAAAGGTTGCCAACCCCTGGTCTAGAGCGTAAGTGCACAAGAAAGGACAAAGACCCCAAACTTCTGATTTCCTTCTATAAAGAAGAAAGGCAGGAGCATGATACAGATAAAGACCTATTTAAAACCTGGTTAAGAGAAGGCTTTACTAGAGCTGGTTGAAATTTTTACAAATTCAATGACATTTCAAAATTGTAAAATAAAAAATAATTACTATATTTTCACAATCCTCTTCCTTCTCACCCCCTCATTTTTGCCGACCGTAAGATTGGTGGATGTGTTTCAAATTTCAAAATTCCAAAGGAAAAAAAATTCAAAAGTATTTTTTGCAAAATTTAGCAGAAATTGACTTACAAGTTTTTCCAGTTTTTAAAGCTAGATTATTTAGACCCAGGGCCGGCTCCAGGCACCAGGCAACCAAGCACGTGCTTGGGGCGGCACCTGGTAAGAGGCGGCCAATCTTGGGGTGGTGGGGGCAGCGCGGCACGGTGCTCGGTGGGGGAGGGGTTCCGGCGGCGCAGCGCTCGGCGGAGGGTGTTCGGCGACGCGACACTCCGCGGGGAGGGGTTCGGCAGCGCGGCCATCGGCGGGGGGTGTTTGGCGGCGCGGTGCTCCGCGGGGGGCGGAGGGGGGTTCGGCGGCGCGGCGCTGGGCGGGGGGGGGTGGGTCGGCGGGGCGGCGCTTTTTTTTGATGCTTGGGGCGGCAAAAAAGTTAGAGCCGGCCCTGTTTAGACCAACACTGCACTGATTCAGGCCTCTCACCTAGTACCTTATTCAAATACCCAATATAATATCACTCTAGATTACCTGCTGTAAGACTTGCTTCTTTTGCAACCAGCCTGGTCAAGTGTCTTACAGATTAGACAACAAAACCCTCCCCAATAAAACAAATTTTGAAGCAACTGCTGTGATACTTTTTACTTCCAAGACTCTGGGAGAGTACAGTTCTCCTTAGACAAGATAGTTTGATAACATCTTAGAAGTTCTTCAATGTTATACTAATTAAATCTACTGAAAACTAGAGACACAACTGGAAAAGGGAGAGAAGAGAAAATGAAATTAAGATATGGATCCACCCTCACTTCAGCAATGTGTGCCTGTTTTAGCTGCCAGCATGCACAGTCAAGAAACACTATCATTACATGGCTTCAGAATGAGTGGAACTCTAAGCCTGTGATGGGTGGCTTATTTGTTATTTATAGAATTCCACAGGAATGCTTGTTCAGTATTATCTTGTCAGTTTTTCTTGTTTTGTATCCTCTGACATAAGGTACCTAATTTATTTGAATTCTAGATGTGAATAACACACCATATCTAATCTGTGTTATTAATTTAACCTACCTAATTTTAATGGCTATATTGTACATTTATTAAAACTTTTTTCTATGCATTTAACAACACACTTTTATAGCATGTATCGTCTTTCTCCATGCCTATCCCCACAGTATCTTAGTGGCTCTGTCCACAGGAACAATTTTTGTGTGCCCCAGTAAAGGGGGAGGGGGAAGAACAGAAAAATCTATCTTATGTTTTTATACTCTCACGATCACAGTATCTGAGTGTCTTGCTTGAAAATTGGTAGCTATAAGTCCTTAGTAGACTTCATGGGGTCTCTGGCTCACCTCCTTTTTGGGGTTCAAACTATGGTTTGGTGTTTTTTGTTTTGTTTGTTATGGGTTTTTATATTTTATTTTTATTTTTGGGAGGCATAGGAGGGTGTCTGTGTGGTGTCATTCTGCCTATTATGCAAGGGCAAAAAATATGAACAAAATGTCAGTGTCCCGATTTTATAGGGACAGTCCCAATATTTGGGGCTTTGTCTTATATAGGCTCCTATTACCCCCCACCCCTGTCCCGATTTTTCACACTTGCTGTCTGGTCACCTTACAGTGTAGTGAGAAGGAAACTCATCTAGACAAAGCACAGACCATGTGAGTATTCAAGGAGGCCTTGAAAGAGCCATCATTCTTGCCCAGGCAGGGCTGCTGTTGTTTTGGGAGGTAGCCTCTCCAGCATGAGTATGGAAAGGCAGAAAGTAACAGAGCCATGATCCTCCTGGTGTTCCTCTGTTATGAGAGCATAGACCATAACCTTGCAAAGAATGGTTCCCCTCTTCTGGAAAACATATGGATCTTTAACAGCATGAGGTCTTGCAGGTCTTGAACGGGCCTACAGGTCCCCAGGTAGTGCCCAGACTGCAGTGGCCACCTGGCAGCTCGCTGGAACTGAAGAAGAGGACTAGCAGAGCTTTAGCTCACTCTGGGCTCCGCCCACAAAATATCCTGATTGGAGGAGATGTCTGGCCCCACAGATTGGCTCAGATGCACAACTTAAGCCATCAGGAGGCCCAGGAAGTTATCTGAGCAACTAGGTGAATCCCTGGCTGGGGGCCACTTTGGACCCTGCCTAGTTCCTGTCCTCCTTATCCCAGCTCTTCCTCTGCTCCCAATTCCTATTTTCATACCTTGGTCCAGCTTCCTGCTCTTTTGCTCTACCTATTGTAGTAAGATGAGGCCCTGAAACATAAAACCTTGGTATCAGAGGCCTGGTATGAGGACTGAGGCTTGAACTAAAGTAATGGTCAAGACTTTGCTAACATAAAGCAAAGTTAAGCTGTGAGCCAGAGGCAGGCCCTACTCACAAAAGTTGGCAAGAAGAAGGCTGTTAATTGGACGTATACACATATCTAAAGGGTATCAAGTCCTAATAGGATAAACAGGTGCCAGGATGGCACCAGAACAGTTTGGTACAAACGCATTCCACAGAGATAATGAGGAACAGGCCGATTCATCCTAAAAGACAGGGTCAAAAGGATAATATGATGGATAGACTTGTTTGTTCGAACCAACATGTACCAGGAGAGAGGCAGCACCCCAGCACGCAGAGGGTTTGTACCTTGATGTGTCAGGAGTGATGTTTAACTTGTTTGTACCATAAGAATGCATCCCTGAGTGGATGTCTTTGTCTGGCCTAGGAGGCAGTGGTAAATCCTGCCACTGACTGAGCCGGTCCATTGTCAGGGAGCACATACGTACTAGCAGAACTATAGACATCTGATCCGGGGAGCTAGAGACTGTATTTCGTTTGGCAATAAACCTGGGCGGGTGCCTTCGTACCTTATCAGAGTCTGTGGTCTTTGGTGGTTCTCTCGGGGTCTGCTGTGTCAGCTATCTGTGCAGATCCGGGGCAGCACACAGAGGGAACACACGCACATAGCCAACTGTTATCATCATTGAACAGAGCAGAGCACCACACTGGTGGCATCTGACAACACCTGTGACTGATTCTGGCTTCGACCCTTGGCTTGAGTCTTGCCCCAGGTTCCTGACTGTGACCCCTAGGTTTGATCACTCAGGCCTCGGTCATCACAAACAGCTTCCTCTGTGGTGGTGTGACTCCACATCAACCTCTAGTAAGTAGAGCTAGGCAAATAACTGATTTGTCAGTTTGGTGGGAGTTCAAGAAATAAAATCCAAAATATTTTCGTTTGGGTTGAACTGAATCAGAAATATTTTGGTGAATAAAAAGAAAGTCTGTTTCAGACTATGGATTTGAACCCACATCCCAAGTGTGTGCCCTAACCACTGGGCTAATGGTTGTCAGGTGGGGAATAACATCACCACCTCCTTCTCCTTCTCTGTCTGTTTTGTGAATAGCCAAAACTATACCAATAGTTTATGAATAGTTACAGGTCAAGCTGAAACTGCTTTTTTTTTGGTCAAATAATCTATTAGTCTGAGAATCCTTCCCCAGCTCTACTAGTAAGGACAGCCTTTAGTATGCCTCACAATGGTGCAATAGGTATTATTCAGCCTAATAATGGTTATGGAAGCGGAGGACATAAATGACTACTCATAAGGGTCAGTGGCAGAACCAAAAGTGAAGCTCGGGAGCTATGGCTCCTGGTTGCACACCCTAATGTTTTGACAATACATTTATCTGCCTTTGTGGCATGCATAAACCCTTATCAATAAGTTACCTGCTTTCTGTTTCCTCACCCATCCTGACACAGAAAGTTCCCATAGTTTCCCTGGCCCTTTTCCCCCCTCCATGTATGTTTGAATGATTTCTTTATTTTGGTAAGATCAATACAATTAGCAACAAAAATGGCCCTGCTTTTCAATTGAGGAGGCAGAATCAACAAGAGTGTGCATAGTCGCCATGGGACAACAATCTTGTCGGAAAAGTTTCAGACTGGTGTTTTTTGTGGCGGCAAGGGCACTATTTCTGATATCATTGTGGTCATTTTGTTGTAAGAATCATGTTCTTGTTGACTGATTACAGAGCTGGTTTACGGGAAGTTACCTAACTCATGTTCTCATCAGTGGATTGTTTTGAAATATTTATGCAAAAATATTTATCTGAAACAATAAGGACAAAATATATGAAACAGCAATGTAACTGTTGTAGCTGAGCTCTCTGGGGATAGGGGGTAGCAGCTTTCCGTATTGGACAGGGGATGTCGAATATAGCAATTAATGAGTTTTTGCTTCACACATGTCCTCACACACAATGATTTGATGATCTGGCACATGCCATTTCATCAACAGCTATCATCAGCATGTGTTGATAGATTCATGAGGAGAAAACATGAATGTTACAGTCATTCCTCCCATAGGTGTAGCTTTTCTCAACTGTTTTGCTAATTAAATAAAGAGAAATTCAGAGTTTAGGAACAAAAGACCTAAATCATTCATTGTGTTCACTGGGCTTTTTAGAATATGTTTTCTTCTAAGAATGGTGTTGACAAATTCCTAGCAGAATTTAATGTTATTTCCTATAAAATGAAGTATGCAATATCACTTAGGAACTTCACATACTACTAATTTAAATACTTAGTAGTTTAATTTATTGGCATTTAAGTGCCGATCTGAGCATCATCCTCATTAAATGGAGTATACATTCAGAACATCAACAATGTCTTTTATCCTACAAGGGAAGGACTGACAAACAATGATTGTCTTCTTAAATGGACAATAATAATTTCTTCTCTGCTAGACTCTGACGGCATGCCTGTGGTTAAGAACTTCAGCATTCACCTCCTAAAGTAGTAAACATATTTAAACTTATAAAATAGGATGTTGATTTCAGGAATTCCCATCTATACACAGGGGTACATTTGTGATGGTAGGTTTCTGGCCTAATCTTGTATGTTTTACTCTGACAAAACTGCCACTGCCAATAGGTGAGGGGTGCAGGATTTAGCCCTTGCTACATAGTTTTCTCTTTTCCCTTTTGGAGTGAAATGAAAGTTTGTGGAATACATTGGGTAGACAGCAATAAAATCTGAAGTCTTCCATTGGCAGATAAGTATGCAAGCTTCTCCTCACACTGCCCAAAATGTACCTGCCTTTACCTTGACCCAGAGGGACAACTTCAGCGGGGTGAGAGTCCAATTTGATCTCAATTCCCATCCCATTCATAACTGCTTTGCTGAGGCAACCTAACAAAGGCAACTAGAGCAAGTTGCAGGTCTGGGTTTTGGGACAGTATCCATTCCTATGAGGTACTGAGCATCCTCAACTTCCGCTGAAATTGGTAGGAACTAAGATTGCTCAGCACCTTGCATAAGCAGAATGGGCATGTTTAGGGACTGGTTTGGTTGAAACTATCAATTATTTTTTCCGACACAGCAACTATACACTGAATCCAGGCTATATTCATGCTTGTGACCCAGAATGAAGATTTAATACATTCAAATTAAAGGCCACATTCACAGATCATCTAAGCACACTAAGGATTTGATCTCAAAGTTAACCATGACGGTGGTTTTACTAGATCATGATTAATCTGGAGAAGCAATGCAGTACTGACAGCAACAAATTTATTGAATTAACATTACAGTATTTCAGTTGCAGAAGTAATTCAATATAACATCTTGTTTCTGCAAGTTATGAAAGTTTTGTGATGGATATATCAACACACATACAAGGATTTTTGTGTGCAGAGTTTGGAAAATGTACTGTGTGGTACCTAGGAGCTTATTTCTTACAATAATGATAAGGTGTTAGGATTTTAATGAATTTCTCTGAGAGCATGTATTGTATTACCAAGAACAGCAGATAGTGCAAAAAGTAGTTTTACAACAGCAACAAAATTCAAATACCTCTTACAATCAGGTCTGCAGTAGCCGATAGCTTGTCCACAGTTGTTTGCACCATGCAGACGTATTTCCCAGCATGCTTCAGCTGGATGCTTCTGATCATCAAATCACCAGCTGAATCCTGCTGATAAAGTAGGGAAAAGTGGTTACAATTACTTTTTAATGAGCTCTAAACATCATTACCACATGAAGGACACTGTGACTAATGGATTTATTTTACACCGGCTGATGAAAACATTAGTAATGGAAGCTGTGTGGCCTATTATAAATATGTGAACCTGCCTTGAAGATAAGAGCAGTAGCATTTCTAAAATTATAGTTTCTACAAGGGATGGGGGAGTCGGGTTTGGGTCAGTTAGACAGTTTAACATTCAAATGATGTGACAAAACTTATGTGAGGCAGGTTCTCTATGATTCCTTATTTATCTCTCCAGCCATCCAATGTATAGACTTAATTGGTATTCAGATATCTATGTTCTGCCTACAGTCATTTCATAGGTGAAAACCAGCCTAAATTATGAGGCATCTGCAATAGTTTGACAGCCTTGTCTTACAGCCAGCATTTTGATTGCCCACAATTCATATATTAAAGATCATGAGAACAGTACTCTCTAAGGAAATCTTGCTTCACCTAGAGTGGAACAACACTAATGCATGTCTGATTAGCAGTTGAATAGAACTAATTATGTTTATATATGTATATGTATCTCAGTATTTCTATACTCTTCACCAGACACAATGCTTTCAGTACATTAGAAATCTCAGTGTAAGATTGTGATTATGGCATCTTCAGTGAAGAATAGTAATAAAGTTTGCAATTTTAGTTTTGTAGCCCTATCAAGTGTAATCACTAGAAACAGCTGTCTCTGTTGCTGTGTACCCTAGAGTGCAGATCTTTGAGTGATATGTTGCATCTTCAAATTAATTTTATTCGCCCCCACCCTCAAAATGATAACAACAAGGTTCATAAATTGCATTTGCTTTTCCCTGCAGCACTAAATTTCACAACTGAGAAATGTAAATGGAGACCATCACTCTGTTTAAAGTCTAGAAAAGGCTCTAACTTTGTGAAAAGTCCATGAAAGCCACACGTGGAAACCTTTTTCTCTCCCTCCACTACTTCTAGTGAATACATATTTGGTTTCTTCCATCTTTTCTGCTAGCTACATTGAATGCAAGCAGACAAGGGAAAAAAATGAAATGAAATATTTTTTTCTGTTGCAACTAAGTTAGAGATTAAACCCTCAACAGACCTGCACAAAATGGAGTGGGTACAACTAGATGAAATCGGAAATGTGAAAAATAGCATAGAATTTCCAAACGAAAGCAAACTTTCCATCCATGCTATGAGTATAACCTATGTGACAGCTAATGCTTTTGTTTGAAACAATGTTTTTTTTAATCACACATCATATTTCATCTTTTCTACCACAGTTGGGTATATAAGCATGTAATATGATAAGATACATGGACTTTGTCTATGTATGAAATACTGCACTGTACCTTCACCCAACCCAGTTCTCAAACTTTTTATTCAAATGAAACAGAAGTGGACCTAAACCCTTATATTTTCAGTGAACTGCAAGGGATTTTGGTCCTGTGGGCCCAAGTGACCTCAAGTGACCTACATCTATTAAGACACAACAACTCAACCTGTGGTTTACCCCTTTGAAAATTTAAGGGGTGAAAACTTTTCATCTGTGTTATCAATTTTTTTCAATCAGAAGAATAACATCCAAAAGTTTGGTTGGTTGTGGGGAGCAGGACTGGCTCTAGGCACCAGCAAACCAAGCACGTGCTTGGGGCGGCACAATTCCAGGGGCGGCATTTTTTTTTTTGCTTCGGCAGTTGCGCTCTTGGAGGTTTTGTTTTTTTTTTGCTTGGGGCGGCAAAAAAACCTAGAGCCAGCCCTGGTGGGGAGAGACTCATGTATCTGTTATTCCTATTTTAAACCTTCTTTATAATGACTTAATCCAGAACTGTACCTTGGGTATGGCAAATCGGGGTCCAGGCCCCATGCTTCGGGGGACTCCACGGGCCGGTGTGATTGGCCATTGCGGTCAGTCCCGGAAGTGATGGGTCAGTCCTGAAAGTGACAAATTCGTCACTTCCGCCCCGGGTCCCGCACCTCCCTAGGGACGGCCCTGACTTAATCATATACATTTTATAGCATCCAATGTGTAAGACTCCCAGAGATGGTTGGTATTACAAAAAAGTGTGAAAATTAAAAACAATTACAGATGAAAACACATTAAACCAGCCAGTGTATTATTCATATTTCAAACTACTGACAATAGTGCCTTAGATTGCCTCAAATGACTGTTAAGATCTTAGATGTTAAGGTGCATTGGATGACTCAGGGGCTCTTTTCACCTCTAGGTCAACAGTTCGATCCTGACTACTGTTGGTAGTGCCTGAAAGTTATTACCTCAGGATGGCTGTTCATGAGTCCATGTGTAATGAGATCTCATTCTTATAGGGTGTGGTTTCACATTACTAAATCTCCTTTCAAATTAGATATCTATGTCAATAATCTCAGTAGAGAGGCCAAGTACTGATGTGATTAATGAAATAGACTCTATTCCTGATTCACTCCCTTGTTTTCTTTTCAAAGGCATCTCTAGGACTTTGTACTTAAGTAGTATGGCATTTTTCTTTCCTACAGGCCCCATGAGGAAACCTGCTTGTGAACAGTGCAGGAACACCAAAAGCACCATGAGATTGTCATCTTCATACAGAGGATCTTGATTGCAAAGGTATATTTAAGGCTTTAGACTTTGAGAAATGACTTCAACTTAGTGGCTTTGACAATTGGTATATTCACTGCAGCTGGGGTCTTCAAAAGGGCCCATCCCTAAACAGCACTCAACTTCCATTTAATTTCAGTGAGATTTGGATGCATTAACTCCTTTAGGTTCCTTTGAAAATACCAACCTACATCTATTAAGTCAAATCTCAAACATACTGTCACAGACAAGGTACCCATGCAGAAAGACTGGCTGCCTTATGGTGCTCTTCCTGCTTAGGGTTACCATATTTCAGCAAGCAAAAAAGAGGACGGGAGGAGCCCCGCCCCCACCCTGCCCTAGCCCCACCCCTGCCCCTCCCACTTCCCGCCCCCCTCAGGACCCCCAACCCTCCCCCCCCGCTCCTTGTCCCCTGACTGCACCCTCCTGGGACCCTTGCCCCTAACTGCCCCCCAGGACTCCACCCCCTACCTAAGCCTCCCTGCCTCTTGTCCCCTGACTGCCCCCTCCTGAGACCCTCCCCCCATCCTAACTGGCCCCCTAGGACCCTACCCCCTACCTGTACCTTGATTGCCCCAACCCTTATCCACACCCCCACCCCCAGACAGACCCCTGGGACTCCCACGCCCCATCCAACCACTCCCCACCCCCTGACAGCCCCCCCC